ATAACGTGCTAATACTAAAGGTCAAATATTATAATCTAATTTTATATCTTAGAAGTTTTAGGTTATACTAATATATTTTTTTTTATAATTTATGTAATATTCCGAAATATTTTTTTAAAAATAAATTTTGAAAAATATATTATAAAAATACTTTCAACAAATTTCAAAATAATTCAAAATTTTCAATGTTTTTAAAAAAATAAGAATTTAAATTTAACCGAAGCCAATGTAAATATTTTATTGCCCATGTATATATTAATAATGAATCATACTGTTAGATAAATATAATGCTTTATATACTATATTCGATATTATTTTGCAATTCATATTATAAAACTTTTTTTTAAATTGAGCCCTTTGGAAATTGTGTAGTAATATTTAACCAAGTAATAACATTACGAATTTTCATAGAAAATATGGTTCTTCACGCATTTTTGAATTATCTAATAAATTAACTGAGTCTACCATACCACACATATACTCAGATATCTTTTAAAGAATACCTAAATTATTTTATGAAGCTTAACTAGGGGTGAGACCAATACCAATATAATATTGGTTTACAATACCAATACCAATATAAACCAATATATATTTAAATATTGGTAATGCTTTTACAACCAATACCAATTACCTAAATATATTGGTTTTGATATATTGTTTAAATACAATTTTAACCAATACCAATATTAAAAATAACATAATTATTTGGGTTTATCGTGGATAATTATATCGTGGTATTTTTTTTACTTTCATTGCAAAAACTGATTACATCTGTTATTTCTTCCAAATACTACTGTGATATCAATATTTCTGGTATTTATAATTATAGTTTATTTTTATTATGGAAGTAAATTTTTTACATGATATCTATCAATTTATCTATTTTTTAGGATATTATAATAAATGAAGACCAAATAGAGTTAATAAATATAGATGCTGTTGGTAATAATAATAGCGATAATGAACAAGAAGAATTATCAATATCTAATAAAAGACGAAATTCAGCAAAAATCTGGGAATTTTATACTACTTGTGATAATAAAAAAAAGGCAATTTGTAATAAATGTAAAAAAAAAATATCACTTCCCAAATTTGGAACTTCAGGATTATGGACACATCTTAAATCCATCCACCCAACATTATATAAGAAATGTGAGCAAATAAATATTGGCAGTAAAAAAATTAAGACATTAAAATCATTTTTACTTAATAATATAAATAATAAAGCTAATTTAAATAATTTAATTATAAACTTTTTCATTCAAAATATTTAGCCTTTTCAATAGTTAAGGATATCACTTTTAAAAATTTAATAGCATATTGTAACCCTTCACTAACATTAGTTTCTAGAAAAACACTAAAAATAGAAATTATGAAACATTATCATAGTTCTTTTATCAATTTAAAATCTGTACTTTTTAATTACATCTAAAACAATGGACATTTGGTCTTCTCCAAATAAAATACCCTTTATGGGCATAAAATTCATTATATTGATAATGATTTTAAATTAAATAATCATTTATTAGATTTTATTCCTTTTAAATCAGCACATAATTCTATTAATATTTTTATTATTTTTAATTCTGTATTAAAAGTAAAATTTGAAATTGATTTTTTTTGCATTAAATTAGACAATGCAAGTAATAATTTAGCATTTCTAAAAATTTTAAAACAAAAAGATAATCTTGATAATGTGTGCAAATGCTTTTGCCATATTATACATTTGGCTGTCATGGCTGCATTGGAATTCTTAAATACAACTTTAAAAAAAATAAGAAATTTTTTAAACTTTCTATATCTAAATTTTATAAACTCGAAAAAATATATCTTAAAAAAATCTACACTTAAAATTTCCTCACCCAATTTTGGATATACAAACAAGTTGGAATTCAATACCAAATGCTTGAAAGAGCAATATTGCTCAAACCCTATTTGACAACATATACCAATCACTTACAAAATACCAATCAAGAAAATTATATTAGTGCCTTAGCCTGGAATAATATAGAAATATACCGAGAATTTCTGGAACCATTTAATTTTTCTACAGAGATGGCCTCATGTGCTAATACTCCAACAATTTCAACAATTATTCCTTTATATTCCAGTATTTTTGAGCATGTGGAGAGTTATAATAATAATCCTAATGCTATTTTAAAAACAGCTTCTTTAGCTGCCTTAACAAAACTTAATAAATACTATAATTATAATAAACACCTCTTTATTATTTCAACAATGATTGACCCAAGATTTAAATTATCAAGTCATAATAATATGGAAGCTCTTATTGGATATCTTACTAATGAATACAATATTTATAAAATAAATAATAACAATTCAGCGGAACTTATAGCACAAAATAACAAAAAATTGTCCTTTTATGACAAAATTTATCAGGTGAAACCTCATAATAATAACAACTTAGAAATAAGTAAATACGTAGATGAACCCACAATTTCCAATGATACAAATCCATTAGATTGGTGCAAATTAAATAAAAATAGATATCCAGTATTATCAAAAATTTCCAGAGATTATCTAGCAATTCCGGCCACCTCATCTAGCTCTGAAAGGGCTTTTTCAGAAGGAAAGTATGTTATAACAGACTAACGTTGTTCACTAGATGAGCATACTATACAAGCTTGCCTGTGCCTAAAAAGTTGGATGCGCATGCAAGATTCTTCTTAAATACATAAAATTATTTCCTCTTATATTAAAATTATATCATTCTTTTGCATTATATTTTGTATAAATAGACAGTTATGTTACATTTTTAGTTTACTTATTTTGCTATATTCTTTGTGATAAATAAAATGGTTCAAAATCAATACGTTTATTATTGTTTATACAAAAAATACATGATTAAATCAAAATTTTTTATATTCACATCACCTAATAAATTCCTAGTTTAAAAAAAGAATTTGAATTTAGTAAAATTTTGAGAGTTGGTTCTTAGCCCTGATTTTATGGCATCATGATTTTTTTTCCCATGTTTATTTAAGATTAGAAATTAAGGGTTTTATAATCACTATTTCGATTCTTTTAATTAGTAATTTGAATTTAAACCAATACCAATATAAACCAATACCAATAACAATACAAGAAATAGAAAATATTGTTTATACCAATACCAATATTTTAGACCCAATACCAATACAATATTTTGTTAATATTGGGTTTTTACTATTGGTTCCCAGTCCTAAGCTTAACCTCAAAACGATAATTATGTAAATAATTTAAAAAAATTATCATATTTTACATAAACGAAAGCGGATATTTATATAATATATAAAATAATAATTCTATAGATTAAATAATTCAGCACTAAAAATGTTACCTACCACTTTGTAAGGATTATTTAAAAAAATAGTATCATTAATATTGAATATTAAAATGGCTCCTATTTAATAGCTCAGAATTAAAACTAAAATTCTCAAAAAAAAATCCTTAAACTATCAGGTCTTTCATTTAAGTCCACGGGTGAGTTAACCTGAGCGCGTGGAGTAGTTAAGAATATTAATAGCATTAAGTAGGCTGTTGGAAAGGTAAAGTTGAAAATTGACAGAGGGAATGGCTTCGAGAAACTCATGTCCTGTACCATTGAGTAGAGAAGAGAATAGTGTGATCAGTAGATTGCAGACTACATAAGAGTGTTCCAGCATGATAAAATGATTCCATGAAGATAATAATTGATTAATTCCTAAATTCGCTATGGAAACGTGGAATATTCGTTAGTTCAACAAGTTTTTAAAGTGACTTTAAATTTACATTAAAAAACAAGACTCCCTAATGTATTTATTATCAAATATGGAACAAATTAAAGATTTTGATCTAAAAAATAGGCTACAATCATTTGGATTTTTAGACAGGTATGAAAAAAAAATTCGTATAAAATGGAACTTAATTTCGCAATAAAAAAAATAATTAAGTTAGCGTTCAATCTGGGGAAGAGGAGATTGTAAGCTGATGTTTAAGTGAAAGGATGATTGATCCATCTTATATTTCGTTAATTATATTATTTTGATAATTCTTAAAAAAGATCTCTAAGATGTTTTTTGCATTATAATTTATGAAAAGGGTAAATTTAGAAAAAAGTGAGCGTCCTGCTATAATCCGCCATAATGGGAACCTATCTAAACCGGTTTTGAAAAAAAATTAATATTTTAAACTAATGGGAACGAAACTAACCAATTAAATAAAACGTTTCAAAACCTTGGCCACGGTATTTTAACAACTCCGACTAAAATTTAATAAAGGTGTGCCATAGCAAGAAATTTCCACTCAGGAGAAAATGGGGGCACCAATTTTTTTTAAAATCGTGTATATTTAATCAATATTAAGGAAGGCTAAGAGATTAATTCTACACAAATTCTTAAGACTATTAATTCATGCTAGTTTTATTATAATATCAATTTTAGAATGTGAATTAAATAAAAAATAATTCGATATATTAATATAAAAATAAATTAAATTTAGGTGAATAAATTGTTGTAAATGACTAATCTAATGAAAATTTTTCCTAAATGGTATATAATTATCTTTAAAGATATTCAAATACTTATTAAGAATGACTAATATAAGAAAATAATGAGATCAAATATTTAGGTATTCAGTCAGACGTTTTATTTATTATTCTACAACATAGATAGAAATATGAAATGTATAAAGATTCTCATGAGGGTTATATGTGCATTCTAAAATTTCTAATTTAATAATATATAAAAAGTTCAGGTGACAATTTATTTACAAAATATTTACATTTAAAAAAGTTAGCTAATAAAATATTTTTTCAAAAAAAAATCTAAAATCTATGATTTGTTTTCAAAAGTATTTTAAATATATATTCTTTTAAAGCTATTTATCTATAAATTGTGAGTATATTAATATTACTATTATAACATATTAGATAAGAGTTAACAGAATTTTTTTTGAAATTCATCATGGTATCGAAAAATAATTAAATAAATATATGAAAATACATAAAACAGGTGTGATTATTTTAGAGTTGTGCATAAAAAAGACGATTTAATGAAAAAAAAACGACTTGATATCATTTGTTAGGCTATAATTGGCATAACGACTATTAAAATCGAATAGATTAGCAATTTAAGAAGTTCAATCCTACTATACCATAGAAAGACATGATATATGAATATCTAAAGCAATTTTTAAGTTCTGTTCAAAAAATTATTTGGTACTATCGAATGATTTAATCCTTTGATTAATTATATACTGAGCAGTACATTTTAATCTTTAAAAAGTGCATTGCATATTTTATTAAAAGGCGTCGAATACATTTATTTAGCCTTTATTCGCGTATACCCTAAACCGGGCTTTTGACGAATAAAATCTAAAATGTAAGGTTTGAATTGGTGTAAATATAAATAGTTGGTTAAACTAATATCGGTATCGGAGTTTCGTCAAGGAAATTTGTGCTCTTCGCTAGGTCTGTGTTCAGTTTCGTAATCCAAATGAACGAAAGCTCTTTCGATTTCGGGCAACCCTTCTAATTTGACCTGCAGTTTTTCCCCAATATCGTGAGCCTCCTTAAGGAACATGGTCTCAGGTAGCATTATATCTACTTCAACCTGAATAGTAAGTTATAGTTTAATAAGAAATATTACATTTAACTTTAATTATCATAAATCCTAAACTCACCCAATTTAAATTGAATAAGAGTTTTTTTTTTGAATTAAATCTAATAATTGTTTTTATTCATTTATCACCAAAAAATTATTGCCGAAATGAAAAGCCCGAACGGTATCGATTTTAAGAATTTTTTCGCTATGATTCAAGCATATCCAAGTTATGAGTTGCAAAAATTTGGATTGTGCCGTGTGACCAGTTAGATATTGGATTTGTTCTTTTTTATAAAATATAAATATTCGCCAAATGTTTATCATAATTATTGTAGTTATGTCATTTCCTTCATCCTAATTTTGCTGTTTTTGAAATAATAGGGTAAAAGAAAATATTTAGGTGTATTCCAAAGTATCCAAAAATTTTCAAAACTTTATCGAAAAACACAAAATGAGTCCTTTTTTAATATAAAAATAAAAAGATCGCCATAACAAATTTAACTTAGCATTTATAAAATAAGTTCTGGATTAAATATAATGTATATATATTTATTTTAACTAATTAAATGTTGGAGGTTCATCAAATAGACCCCAAAGAAAATTTAATCTTGGGTATATATCATATAAGTACTCAAATTTTTGTGTAGAAATAATTAAAAAATGATATGACTTAGCCCCCCTCCCCCTCCCAAAGCTATTCCTCTGTATTTAGCTACAATTAAAAATCGATAATTTTATAATCAAAAACCTCTCGAGCGATTAAATATCTAACATTTTTTTAAAAACAAATAATTAATAAAACAAATATAACAAATACAACTTACTATAACCAGTCAACCACCAACTCATAGCTATGTATATGGCTATTAATAAAGCACCTATCGGATCCGCGTAACGCCAATACAAGAAACCTTGATTTAAAAAAAAACATGTATGACATCAAACTGATAAAATGCATAGTAGTTTTTAGAGTTTTATAATTAAATTATACGAGCTGAAAAAAGTAGTATTAGGGGAAAAAATATTATACGATGTTTAATTGCGATAAAAAACCGCGGAATTTTCCTTATATGCCATGTAAATATAATAATTAATTGTCACAATTTGTTCCATCTAAATTTCATTTTTTTTGCAAGAATATGAATAACTAAAAAAAACAATCCCTAACCCTTTCGTATCAATTCAAATATATAATGGTTCTGGCAAGTTTTGAAAATAACCATGGAAATTAGGGGCGTACCGATACCACTTTTTGGAGGCCGATCCGATATTCCCAATATTAAATTGATATCGGCCGATTTCCGATCCGATATCATGAATAATTTTGTATTCTGTAAAGATACCAATGGTTTTAATTTTTAATTTATTAGTATCACATCTATAATTTAACTATACCATAACTTATGTCATTTAAATATATTATAATGATCAGTTATAGTTAATATTCAATTCAATAAAATATTTTTATTGTTAAATCAGTTTTATATAACAAGTAATACATTAATCTATATACATAATAAGTAATAAACAAATATATATGAAATTTGAAAAAAATATTTAAAACAATATTTAACATTAATATATCAGATTTCTATTTAGAAATACCAAAATTTCAATTTATCAGAGCTCAGCCTGCGGCGATGGTAACTGACAATATCATCAGCTTCACAAAAACTGATTGTGAAGAGATTATCGTACACTTTTATAAACAACATGCCCCCCAAAAAATAACAATAAGGCAGAATGTTTATTAATTAATTTATTATTATTAAAAAAATATTACATAAAAATGGATTTAGATTTTATTCATAAAAATAAATGATTTTAGATATAACTTTTTTTAAAATTTTATAACATTTTATTTTTGTTAAAGACGCCATTTTATATCGTATCGGAAATTTTATAATATTGGCCCATAACCGATATTTTAAAATGGGTGAAATATCGGCCCGATCCGATCCGATAAAAAATATCGGTACATCCCTAATGGAAATTGAAGAAATTATATATAATCTTGGACGAGCAATATACGCGTGACAAATAATTTACAAATGAATAAATATTACATTACATTAAATTTACAAAAGAAAGGGTAACGATGATAAATTTAATTAGGTTAAAAAAATTATTACTTATACTAGGACGAGATTTAAACACCATACACAACATATATTTTCATAATTTTAGATATTGTAATTATATACTAAATAATTCATTGTAATGTTTGATTATTTTTTAACCTTTATATATTTTAAATAAGAAATTCTATCTAAAATTTTGTTATTAAGTTAAATATTTAAAATGGCAGTTGTAAAAATGGAGGCCTTGTCATGATTATGAGAGATAGTAAACAAATTAATTATTTACATTTCGTATATACAATATATTAAATTTATTATCCCATATAATTATATGTGGCAGAAGGGAATGATAGCATAGAAGTGGCATAACCAAGATTTATCCAAGAGGAGGTTACAAAAAAAATATCATCCCTCAAACCCCCATTGCCCGTTGAGCAACCTAACGATTAAAAAGCGGGTTGAAGCCATTTATTCTAAAAAAATTTACAAATGTTTAGTGCTTAATTGTATATTCGCCTTTAACCCACACTTATGAAAATTAAAATTTAATTACCTTTTAAAGTATAGGAAAATCGTTAACTTTCCTTTTTAAATTCTTAACTAAATAAACAAATAAAAAAAAAATGTTAAACATATATATCTTTTTTATGATTTTTAAATATAAATTTTTGTGTCTGATCTAAGGATAGCTTTAGATTTTGCCAATAAATGAAAATATATTTCAAAAAATAGGCCAAAGGAGATACCTTATATAGAGATACCAAATTACCTTTATTCAATAAGAAATTAACTCAGTTTGATGAATATAATTTCTCTAACAAGATAAATGCGCCATCAAGCTTTCGTTAAAAATATCTTCATTACAATAATACTCAATCAAATCGAAATTGAAAGAACATGGGTAATTCCATACCAAATCGATAACCTTTCCGCCCGACCTTTTTAATTTTGATAAAATTTTGCATACTGAGTGAACATTATTAGAAAGCATCGAATCCAAAATTTTAGCCTCCAAGTAGTTTTGATGGTCGAAAATGACCTTTTTTCTTTTATAAAATAATAATCTTGCGGTTTTTATTTAAGTTATAAATTTTGAACCTGAAAATTCCTCCTTCATAAAATTATAATGTATAAATATTGTAAAGAATCTAAGCAGTTTAATTATAAAATGAACCTGACAAAAGTTATGACATGGATAACTTAGCCGAAATCACTATATTTTTGATCATTGCCGTAAGCGTTTACCACAAAAAAATCCAGAAGGTATAAATTCTGACAGCATATGAAATAAATAACCACAGCATCCACATTAATAGATACACTCAATATTATTTTTAATGAAATTGGAATATCTCATATTAAGAAAAAAAACTTATTGAAAAAAATGATCTAAAAAAAGATAGCAAAACTATCAAAAGCCATTTCAGAAATAATAATTAACAATCCAGCAGTTGCCAAGGAAAGCTTATAAAGGACCTTATTCAGATCAAATAATAATACCTGTATAATTTTATAAGACTTAAGAGCCTATAAAAGGTATATTTTTTTTTGTCACCACAAAGAGTATGAGGCTGAAGAAATAATTTGGTAAATTATACTCCAATACCTGGGATATAAAAATTTACGGTTGCAAACGTTCATTGTGGAGAATATAGTAAATCCATGTGAAGATCTGTTTATCGATGAAATTAGAAGATATGTGATCTGTATGTAAAAAAACGATTGGTTGTTTGTGCAAAAAGTGGGTATAAATAGAAATGAAATGGAAATAAATTTTCTCCATCCTAAAGGATGAGCAAATTCTTTTGTTTATGCAGTGCCACCAGATTTTTATTTCAAAAAATAATATTCTAACTGTGAGCCCATCAAAAACGAATGGACGTACTTATTATTTATTGCAAATCGAAATTATCAAAGCGTCAAAAATACTTAAAATAATGAAAAGCCGAAAATAAGTAATATCTTCCGTGAATTTTAATTTTCCTATCATATTTGCAAAATTAATAAAATAATTTTTCGTAAATTAATATTTTTTTACAGGAAAAAAAATTATTATAATCACAGCTTAATACTTTCAATTCATGATATTAATCCTGAAAAATCTTATTATTTATGTTTATAAATAGGAAAAATCCCCAAAAAAATAACAATTTTAACAAATATGTGTTATTTTATATAGTAGCGCTATATATTTTTTAAAAATATTCATTTTTTAAAAAATCTAAATAACTAACCCATGGCTGTCCCAAGTTTAAATTTGTTTCAAATATAGATATAATATACGTGAATAATAAATTATTAAATTCAAATAAATTCGAAAAACCTGGAGTTTAAGGTCAAAAATTTGTAATTTAAATAAAAACCGCAAGATTATTATAATAAAAGGCCTTTACAAAATGACTTACAATTTTTATTTTCAGCATCATTATTTCTCAATTTTTAAAAATCGTATTTTTCGAAAAGAAATTATTTTTGGCACTTTTGATTATTGACATTTGAAACTATTAGTACTTGGATGCTACAATTTTTGACTGATGCTTTGTAATGATGTTCTCTCAGTATGCAAAATTTTATCAAAATTAAAAAGATCGAGACAAAAGTTATGACTTGGTATGGAATTAACCACATATTAAAATCAGTTTTATCTTTAAATAAAAAAATGGGCTGGAGGAATTGATGTTTTTCAACCCTCTCATTTTTAATTAACCCCATTCAGTATATCAGGACCGATAATTTTTTACAAATCGGATAAGGCCAATATTTTCAAAAATCGGATCTGATATTGGTATTGTGTAAGGCTTTGACTGTAATAATTATGGCTATGCCATTATTAAGTATCAGATCAGTTAGTAATAATTATTGATTCATATCTTTTATCCAACTTTGACATTATAATAAAGATTGAATGGACAAATAGTTTTGTTGATGAAAAAAATATATGAATTATGTGTAAATAAAACAAAATAAAAATCGATATAATTACTGTCTATCACATGTTTAAATTGGAAAAAAAATTAAGCCTATTCTATCCTTTAAAATATAAAAAACTAGGGCTGTGCTAATATTAATTATCGAATCGGCAACGATATTTAGCGCTTTCAAAAATATCAGTTTGAGCGGATATTTTTTAAAAACCGATCCAAATAGATATTTTTTATTGAATAATGTATCATATTTTATAAATATTTTCATTAATAAATTAATAAGTGGAACTAAAATATAATTGAATAATAATTTTTTATTATATTATCTGCAACAAGAATTTTAAAATATCTAACGAGTCACATTCAGCTAGTGGGCTCTATTTAGCCAATTTATAAAAATTAACTCAAGATTGTATCCAATAGTAAATTACTCGAGCTTATTTATTTTACCCATATATGGTAGAAGGGTTTGACTTGTACTTGCGAAATTTCGAGGCTTAGATAATATTTTGGACAAATCTTGATTTAACCCTTTCTATAAATCAGCTAAATGAAGCTGTTTAACAAAACTACGCATTAACCCATAAACAATGAAATATTAAATAAGATTATTACTTTTGGAGAATATAAAAAATACACTTAATCATTCGTGAAAGTTGGTTGGTTTTTTTTTCTAATAAAAAATATTGATATTTTTATGATATTGATTCATAAATAGTTGGTAAATAAAACTCAATAGAAATATCGGTATCGGAATCTGTTTTTTAGAATATCTAAAAATATCGTATCGAATCGGTAAAAAATTTGTGGATCAGCATAGCCCTACAAAAAACAATAAATCTTGGCTTACAAAATATATTATAAGTGGAGGATATCTTATGCCCAAAATTTATAGCAAAATATCCTTGAAGATTAGTGTTGCTAAATGGTGGGTTAATTTTTCAAAATAATATTATGGCGAGCCTCGTGATTTCGCAAATAGAGGTCCAAGCCTTTCTGCCATCTATGAACAAAATCTCCAGGTTTACATAATATTAATTTGGCTAAATTTTTACTCGGAAACTGTTTAAAAATCGGGCCGTTTAGCAATACCATTGAAGATCAAAAAAATTTTAAAATATGATTTCATCATGAAAGATTTGGAGAGTTTTAGGTAAAAATTAAATCAAAAGCCTGTTTCATTCTCAAAAAATCTTGACTTAAAAAGATTTTTTATTTTAAAGAGCATATCAAATTCAGAAGATAATTAAAGGTGTGAAAAAAATACAGGATAAAAGTATTTTAAAAAATATAGTAATTAGAGAGAAAGGGTATAAGAGTATTAGTAGAGGGAGAATTAAATGATACCTATATAGGCGCAAACGAGGGCGACGGAATTAGAGAAAAAATCGTTACGCTGATCCATGGTTAATACTTGAGCGCCAGGGGTCTTATACCGTCTCAGCACGATCCACAAAATCAATTTGGTCACTTTTTATTAAATAAAATATATATCACGTCTAGTATTATTATGATAAATTATATTTGTCCCTTTGTACATTTCATTAAACTTAATCTGGAGATTTCCGTCACGCCCATGTGGCGAGAAATTCTAAACAACCCGTGATACGAACAACAGTTTAGTTACGTAAAGATTAGTATTAAAATAAATCTTCCATCCCGAATATTTTAAATCTAAAAATCCCATCCAGGTCGAACAAAAAAGTAAGATAATAGGAGCTTGTGGAGAATAGTAGTCTATTTGAATAACTAAACAAATTTTTTGTAAAAATCTTAATTTATAGCCATAAATTAAGGTGGTCGATTGATTTGGCTAACAAAATATCTAGATTCCATTTAGTTTCTAAACTCGATCTGAACTAAATGCAACTGATCACTTTTACCAGTCCATTAATCTATAGTATTTATATAATATTAACCTATGGTGGTTAATGTGATAATAAGGGTAGCTGTGTCGACTTTTGGGTGCATATCGCCTTTGATCATTTGCCCGATCGAGGTAAATATGATTTGAAACGAGGCTATAGCCATGATGGAGGAAAGTATAACTAATCCTATAGGCTCAAGTCTGGTCCTTCCTATACAAAAATGTGCATTTAAAAAAATACTAATTAGTTAATTTTATCATTTAAAAAATCTTTCATATTATTTAGTTATCGACATTCCACAATGTTATCTTAGCTTTAAATAAAAATGATTTTGATTGGGCCTGATACAATCTGAGCTTAATCTTAAGATGGCTGGCTAATTTTAGCTTTTCTTATTTTTTTTCATTTACTGTGAATTGCTATTCCAATCAATCCTATTCACTTAATCTAAATTAAACTTTCGTGCTTTAAATAAATGATATAGCCAACTCAAAGTATTTCCACTTCTTTTTACAATATAAATTTACCCTGAGGGTAATGATATATGTTAGGCTTTCGACTGGCCCGGTTACTATACCATATGATAATCCCGGACACCAAATCTACGCAAGAATCTACCAGGCTGGAAATAATGGCCAGGGAACCAGATAAGGCGGCAGCTACTGATTTTATTATCATCAAGCACTATTGTGTATAAATATTTTAAAAAATTAAAACAAACTTACTAAATAATGATGAGAAATAATTGGCGAAACACGATTTTTTAATTTGTAAAATATTGATAGCTGGATTGAGGAAATCAAAAACAAATTCTAAAAATCATTTAAGACATTAGTCCCAGAGCATTCTAGCAAGAGAAATTGAAAAACCGAAACTTCTTGAAAAGATCAGTCTGGCCTATTATAAATTTTAACCAGACTGACTTATCACTTCAGCCTAAAAATATTTTTCCAATTCAAATTCAATGGCCAGATTTTCAGCCACTTCGATTTTCAGATAAATATATCCATAACTTTAAAATATAGAAATTAATTTAAATAAGCAAAAAATTAAAACAAATTTAAGCAAACTCTAGAAATATCGAATTTTTTAAGAACGATTCAATTATTGGCCTTTATATCTTTAAAGATAATGTGTTAGAATGTTCTGGTATATGTTTCAAACTATGTAAATAAAAAAATAGGATATAGAAATGTTTGAAATATGATTGAAGGAAAAATGGTGGGTATCCATGCCAATAACGTTCATCTAACCAAGTTAATGAAGAAAGTGACTTTAGCTAAACATTGATCATGAGATTCTTCATTAGGCTTTTTGACGATATCTTCCAGATTTTCGTTTTTAAATCTTATGTGATCTTCAAATTCCTTTATCAAGTGATCCTGCTTTTTGTAGAAAGATCTTTTTTGGTTAAAAAAAGAAAGAAAGATGATGAGTCTAATTTTAAACAAGATTATGAGATAATATATTTCATTTCATTTATATAAAATTTTCTAAGGAATATTAAAAAAAAATACTTATATTATTATAAAAAGTAACAAATGAAGAAATGACTAAATCAATTTGTTTCCAACCACCATTTAAAAATTAGAATTAAAAGTAATGATAAATTCATTGTAAATATCTACATATTATATGTATCTAAAAATTTGATTACATAGAATTGGAATTGATTCTATTTGCTCTTCTCTTAATTAATACTTGAACTAAATATATTTATAATAAAAGGTGGTTCTTATTAGCCTTTTCTTCTAATACCTAATTAATTAAAATGCCATATTTCTATTCTATTCAAATTTTAAATCCTTTCCAGAGAATTATTAAAAAACAGGATAACTTATGACTTAGCTCAGTTTCAAAATGCCCCTCTCTTAAAAAACTAACAAAACATATTTAATTGACAGAAATTATGTGTTTCATATTGTGTGAGAAAATAAATAAATAAAAATTGAAAGGTGGTTGATTTAATTTTAACCCTAATATCAGGAACTAATAAAAATCAAGGAAAAAAATTTATTTTACTATTCCTCACAAAATACTAGCGTTGTAAAATGGTTTATTTTGAGCCAATTTTTTAAAACGGCTAACTCAATATTTTAGGGTTAATGATGCTCACTACCATGTGAATGTATGGAAATATTCTAAATACCAACCTAATTTGCTAACTGACCAAAATTTATTAAAATGTAATAAGGCCCTTATTATTTAATATATTATTATGAAATCACATGGTCGATTCCGGCCTCCTATATATCATCCCCCCAAGGATGGAACCACCAAGTTAGATCAAGAAAAAAAACATGACCATTCCCAGGATTCGAACCCGTGACCATGGGATCAGTAAGCGAAGCTCTAGCCTACTAGGCCATAAAGGCTCTCCGAAAATCACAATTTTTCAAATATATATTATAAATATATTTGGTAGTGCCTATCCAAATGAAAAATAAACAAAATTCAAATTTGATAGGTAGTACCTTACGGTAGTAAGCATCATTAACCATATTTTAGCCAGAAAAATATTGCCTAAGCCTCAAGATTTCGTTAATATATGTCTAGACCTTTGTTCCTTCTATGAGCAAAATCTTCAGGCTTGCGTAGTATTTTTCTGGATAAAATATTGAGTAAGCCATTTTTAAAAATCAGCTCAAAACGAGCCGTTTAACAATACTACAAAATACTAAACAAATTCTAAAAAAATTTATCAAGAAAATATTAATTAACTGCTTTTTCTGCTAATCATTTTATTTGAAGAACAGTTTATAATAGCCCTGGTAAATTATTTAATATATACCTGACATTTTTTGGTAAACTTTTGTCCTTTTGCACTTGAGGTCCACTTTTTTTTGATAAAAAGTTGCTTAGATCAAAGGTATTTCCTAAATATTAGATATTACTTTAATAATATTAATCAATATGGATAAATGTACTCTTAATGCTTAAACAGTTAAATATAAAAGTTTTTTATTATTAAGATAATTATAAAATTTAAATATAATAAATTTACTAATTTTAGAATTATTAGCTTTAAATATATCTATAGATTAAATTTAACCTTTGGGTTTTTTAACTAGGACATTTTGAGTAGACAAATCTAGGGATGTACTTGATGAGACATGATTTAGAAAACCATTACGATTCTCCTTATTATATGCCCATTCAGCTGATAAAAAATTCATTACATATTCCCATAATAAATTAAACTTTTATCAATGTCTAAAAAATGATCAGTTGGACGAATTTCTTCAATACATATTTCTGAATTAGTTGGGGAGAATTCTTTAGATTTGGTATATTTTGAATTCATTCCTATAGAGCAAAAAGGATAACATAAATAAATTGAGTTGATAAATTAAATACTTATGCTTTATTTAATGGTTATAACAATCATTCTGAACGTGAACAACCCCTGCGTGCACACTTCAAAGATCATATAAAATGAATGAATTAATATTATTTACTCGTTTTAAATTTTGCAATGTAATAATTTTTAAAAATTTTCTGAATATGAATAATATTTTTTAAAAAAGGAGTTATAAATATATTTTTATTTATGTAATATTACATTTCGTTTATAATAAAATATGAATTTTAATTCATTAAAAAATTTTAATAAGGATGAATGGGGTGTGTATATTAGAGATCTATAAAGCTCGGCCCATCCGAACTCGGTCCAAGGGGCGGGACGGCAAGTTCTCTAAATATATTAAAACTGGCTGATCATACATAATAATAACGGGTTGGGCCGAGCAAATCATACATAAAAAAAATTTCGGGCTGGGGAAGGCAATTAGATAAAAAAAAATTTGAACAGGAACATCAGGGCTTTCGTAATATTTTTATACGCATTTTCTAGTTACAAAGAATATCTTTATAATGATAAAAATGCCAAATAAATAAATATTCAATTTAAATAGATTAGGTCAAATGATCTTTCGAAATAAATTGTAAATTGTATAATGTCAACAATTAGAATTAGTGCAATGTCATTAACAAAAAAATAAAAACAATTTAAAATTTGAATGTCATTACCAAAATAACATAAAAAAATATATTTTATTCCATATTTATGTACTAAAAATAATTTGTATAATTTTTCCTTATTTTATATAAAATCAGGCCGGGATGACCATTATGGCAAGCCCAACATTTTTTGATATATTTATTTGAATTTCAAGCAAATGCTATAATATTTAAAAAGAATATTACAACATGCTTATTTATGTGTATTCTAAGAGCTGTTTAATTAAAATATGTATAACATTTCGAGTTAGTGAAAGGGCTTGAAATACTGGGAACAGTCTCTGAAGGATCCTCTAAACTTAAGATTGAGGGTGTTGAATAACTCGATATTAATTTTATTAAACCACAAAAATAATTTAAAATAGATTTGCGTAAAACACAATTAATTACACCTTAAATATTTAAAATGAATATTAATTTAATTAAATCGTAAAAATAATAGACTTTTATAAAGCGAGATTAATTAATTATAAAAAATTTTTACAAATTAAAAGTTTTGGACTCGATAAACATAAAAATTATTATAACTTCTGAAATCACTTTTTCTTACATTCATTCCTAAATTTTAAATAGTCCAATATACTAATAAATATATCAAATTCATCTTAATGCTAAGGTTATCTTTAATCTAATTCTGCCTAACATAATCTATTAAATTGCTTAACTTCTCTCTTTATTTTTAAAATATTTAATCATAAATGAATAATACATAGTCCAAATATACTAAATAATTTATATAATTATGTCAAATTCTATCACCCCTTTTCCCTCAATTAGCCTAGACCCATATTTTCATTTAAACAATTACCTGTAGTCTTTAGTTATTTTGATCCACATCTTTTGTCAACTATGTCTAAAACTGATTTAAAGAAAGAAAATTATACATATAAAAGATTTTTAATTTAAAATAAGGCCAAAAAATTAGTGGGTGCAAATTATTTAAAAATTGGATGCTTTATAAAGAGGTACTAAACCATTTTAAAATTTTGTGCTAAATTTGAAAAAGTGGATGTTTTAACACCCAAAGTGTTATGAATTATTATTTATGGAATTGATGTCATTTATCGATTTTTAGACTTGTTATTATTTTTATTTCTTTTATCGATTTTTTTGAATTGTTACAATTTTTGAGCGATTCTTGGAGTTGTATTTATTTTTATCTTTCCTTTAATACGTTGATAGATATTTTCGAAGAATTATTTTAATTTTTACATTTTAGAAATAAAGATGAAAAAATAATAAAAGTGATACGTTAGAGAAAATGAAAATTAGAAAAAATAAAATTGAAAAATATAATAAATTTAACATTGGCGAAATCTAACACAAAGCACCTAGCTAGTAGGCCACTGTTATTAGCATTTTTTGCCTTCATTAATTTTACACTATTCACTTTTTTAGATATAGTCTTTTTAAATCCCTTATCATTTTCCTAAATTCTATTTCTATATTTTTATAAATTTCATCTTCGAAGAAAATAATGACTAACATTAACTATTGAATTTTGGCCTGCCCGCCCAGGCCCACCCATCTAAGTAGGAGGGCAAATCATTTTTTGAGAACGTAAGTACGGGCGGGCGGGTTGAAATTTTTTTAACTATTCGGGTTAATAAATATATACAATGGACGGGTAGATTAAAAAAAATTTAAATCATAAATATTAATAAAAAAAATTGTTTTGATTTAAAATTAGGTTTCATAAAATTTTCTTAAAATAAATAAACTATTTTGTATATTAAGAACTCATTTGGTGGAAATGACAAGAAAAAGATTAGCCAAAGCTATCAAGATTAGCAGGAAAAATATTGGCAAATTTTGCAATTAGTGCTTCTTCTGAACGAGGATTTAACTAACTATCGGGTTAATAAATTTATAAAATGGACGGGCAGGTTAAAAAAATTTTCAAATCATTTAAGTAAATTTTTATAAAAAATTGTTTCTTGGATTTAAAATTAGATATCATAAAAACTATTTTCTTGAAATAATTAACCTTTTTTTGTATATTTAGAACTACTTTGGTGGATATGACAAGAAATATTTGCCAAAGCTATCAAAATTAGCAAGAAAAATAATGGCAAATCTTGCAACTAGTGCTTGCTTCCTGAAAGAGGATTTAGCAAACTATGGGCCGGTAAGTAAGCGGGTTATTAAATTTATACGATGAACGGGCAGGTTTCAAATCATTTAGGTAATTATTAATAAAAAATTGTTTTTTGGATTTAAAATAATATATCATAAAACCTTTTTTTAAGATAAATAAACATTTTTGTATATTTAAAACTATGGTGGAAATTGCAAGAAAGAGTTTTGCCAAAGCTATCAAGATTAGCAAAAATAAATATTTGCAAATCCTGCAACTAATGCTTCTTCTGAACGAGGATTTAGCATTGCTGAAAGGTTTTTACAAAGAAGAACGTGTTTGAATCTAGAGATCTCGATTCATGATATTTTTACATTATAATTACATATAATATCAATTTAATATTTATATTTATTTCATAAATATTTTATCTGATCAAATAAATTATAGATAATTTAAGTTAAATATTTTTATGCTTAATATATTAATTTCCTAAATTATAAATTTTTTTAGAGATGTAATGATAAAGTATTTTTTATTAGATGCTTAAAAAATTAAAAGAATGGCCTATATTAAATTAATAATAATGGGCTTGGATTAAAAATTCTTTATGTGGGAGGGTAAAAATTTTTAGTAGACTAATGGGCTAGCTTGTTATTTTTTTTTAAACATTGGGTGGGCAGTTTTTGGTCCCAAAACACGCCAAATGCAAACCTCTATTAAATTATATCAGCTATCATTCAAATAAAGAAACCAATGAACAGTTTTTGAAAATACATGATGGTTAAAAGATTAAGAAAACTAATTTATTAAAATTAAAATGAAGATTACATTGTGTTACTATATTATACAGAATTTCCACTTTAATATTATTTTAGTATATTAATTTGAATGTTATTATATAAAATAAAATAAGTTAATTATACAGAATTTCCACTTTAATATTTTTTTTTAGAATATAAATTTGAATGTTATTATATAAAATAAAATAAGTTAAGTATAAAATTTTATGTCATTCGAATATTATAAATTATTTTAATCAAAGACCTGCAGAGGGGCACGGGATTTTTTTTCAAAAAATTATTTTCGGCCTGGCCCGGGCTATTTTTAAAAAAATAATTTCAGGGCCGGCCCGGATTTCTATATATTTTATTTATTATTAATTTTTATAGCTAATAATGGCGATTTCAAATATTTGTTTTAAAATATAAGGCCCTACCCGACCCGGATATTTTTTTTAAAAAAAAATTGGGCTCTGCCCGGGTATATTTAAAAAAAATTAAAATACGGCCCAGCCTCTGTACCCGGGCCAGGCTGGGCTTAGGGCCGGGCCTGCAGGTCTCTGATTTTAATTAATATTATAATTTATTGTAATTAATTTTATATTATATTTTTATAACTATAATAATTTTTTATAATTGTTATTTAAATTTTTAATTAATATTAAATATTAATCTTTAACATATATAACAACAGTAAAAAAAAACAATAAATAAAATTAAACAAAATTAAATTTTTTAAAATAAAAATACCATCACCATACAGATACAATTTTTCCCACATCTAACAACTAATTTTCTTTCCATTCACTATTTTATTTATTTAGATAAGTTTTTGTTACATATATTTATAACTTTGACAACTAAAGTAATTTGGTTTTATTTCTTTATTATTATTTTGGCTATTTATGTTAACCTAAAAAATTTGGTTTTCTTTGTCTCTTTATTATTTTGGTTAACGGACATTTATTTGGAGAGACTTACGATTATTTCTCTCAAACAATTTTATCCGACTCAGTAAAAATTAAAACATTGATGAGCAATTTATCTGATGACCTTTACGATAAAATTAAGTCATTATTTACTAAGGAAGATATCAAAGATGATAAAATTATTATTAAAAAATTAAAATTTTTATTACCCAGTCAAGATGTTTGGATGACTGGGAAGTTTAACCTTGCTTCATAAGGTGTTAAGGAATCTTTTTGGGATTGGTTTTTTAGACTGTCTAAGTAAGTAGACAATGTAATTTTATTAATGATGATCGCATAAAAGAAAAAATGATTGAAATAGGAAGAAAATTAGATAGTATTAACATTAAATCAGAAAGTGACAATGTTAAATCTGTTTTTAGTAGGGATAAAAAGTTTAATAAAAATAATGACAATAATAGAAATAATGATAAGAATTTAGATATCCAAAGTACTTCTAATAGGAATGAGATTAATAGTAACTTTAATAGACCTAATTATTATTCAAGGCAAAATTTTGACAGTAGGAATAGAAATTATGGTGATAACAATTTTAGTAATGTTAACGACAACAGGAATAGGAATTTTATTAATGTTAGAAACAATAACAAATATAATAATAATAACTATAGAAATAATCAGTATAATGATAGTAACTATCAAAATTACAATTATCGGTATAACAATGGCAACAGAAACTTCCATAATAATAATTATCAATCTTATAACAACAACTATGGTAGGAACAACGCCTGGTTTAATTATAATCAGAGGAGACAGATTCAATGTGACGATCAAAATCCTAATAATTACTGATCTCATAACAACAATTCAAATAATTATAAAGTAACAACAGTCTACGATAGCAATAATTGTAATATGAACATTAAAGAAGTTGGGGAAAATAAGGTTGGCACTGACAAAGACAATAATGAGAATGATTTCAATGTCAACAACCTGACTGAAAATACAGACAAAGGTGATGACAGTGCTTTTATGACTACTTTTAAATTAAATATTGTTACTACAACTATGCAGGTTGACACTGGATCAAAGTATACCATCATACCTCATGATATGGCTAAAAAAATTGGCATAAGAGAAATGTAGAAATACAGTTCGCGGCTTACAGCCTACGACGGAAACTTGATTAAAATCAAGGGACAACTCAAGTTAAAGTAAGTTATGAAGGTATCACTAAATATTTACTAGCAGTAGTCGTAGAGTCGAGAAAGAACACGTTATTAGGAAGAATCTGAATCAATGCCTTTAAAAATATTTTAAATAAAGTCAGGAAATGTCACACCAATTATGAAGACGAAATCAATAAAGTTATTAAAGATTGTGAATCCAAATTGACTAGGGAACCAATTATCAAAGTAAATGTAAAATTACATTTAAGATGTGACGCCAAACCTAAATTAATACCACCAAGACGTATACCGTATTCAAAGATTGATCTTGTGGGCGAAGAACTGAAGGGATGGATACACGAAAAAATTATTGAGCCTGTAAATGATGTGCGATAAGCGAGTCCTATAACCGCCGTATCCAAAGATGATGGGAGCTTCAAGCTTTGCGCAGATTTTAAAGACACTATAAACCCAGTTCTCGAAGACTTTAGATACCCACTTCCACGTATAAATAATCTTATAGCTAAACTTTCAGAAGAAAAATAATTTACCAAAATCGATTTCAAAAATGCTTTTCTAGAAGTTCCAATCGATAAAAATTTTTTTGACTATATCCACACATAAGGGATACTACCAATTTACCAGACTTCCTTTTGGGTTGAAAACTTCATCTGCTATATTCCAACGAATCATGGATCAGATTTCCGGTGATATGAAAGATATTATATTTTATATTGATAACTTATTAATAACTGGAAATAACGATGAAGCACATTTAAACAACATCAAAAAGGTGTTTGAGAGAATATTATTGTACGGGTTAGTACCTAACTTGGCTAAAAGTTTATTTTTTAAAAACAAAGTGAGGTTCCTGGGTCATGATATTGACGCCAAGGGGATTCATGCTAACCATGATAAAATTGAAGCAATAATTAACATGCCAGAGTCAAAATCTGCTGCTGAGTTGTCAACATTTCTGGGAATGGCTGGTTATTATAGAAAATTTTTAAATAACCGCTTATATTGCTGATCCGTTGTACAAAATGGTCAACAAGGAAAGATGGGAATGGAACTTATAACATTCCAGAAGTTTTAGTGATATAAAGAAGTTGATTAGTCTCCAGCCAGCACTGACGTATTTTAATCTGGAATTACCTATTGGGATTGAGACTGATGCATCCAAATCTGGATTAGGGCTGTATTATTTCACACAGAGAAAGAGGGCAAAGAAAAACCCGAAGTTTTTGCGTCTAGAAACTTAGCAAAATCCGAAATAAATTACACCAATATTGAGCGTGAGGCTCTTGCCATAATGTTCGCAATTAAAAGATTTCAAGAATATTTGGTTGGGATCAGAGTTGTTAAACGCTACTTTTAAAAGTAACGCGCTACCGCTATTTGTTAAAAATGTAGCGTGCTACAGCTATCGCTATTTGTCAAAAAAAGTAGCTCGCTATTAGCTACTATTTTTTAAAAATCAACGTTTATAAATATTAAAATATAGTTAGTTTTGATTATAAAAAAATTTATGTAATAAAAATAAATATTTATGGTAATTTGTTGCATTTTAATAATAAAATTATTTCAATATTATCATCCCCAAGTCTAGAGCGACAATCAGAAAGTATAAGTTTTGCCTTATTAAATAATCTCTCGACATTAGCATTTGAGGGTAAGGGCGTATTTAATCTTATATACATATTTTTAATATAAGATAGATTATTAATAATTTAATTTGCAAGTACATCGTATGTCTGGCATCCTATTATCATTTTGAGGGCTAATACCACAGATCTTGTTTTTAAAGTTCAAGGGTCTAGCCAATGGCCTGTGATTCCCAAATAAGCTCAAAAATATTTAATCAGATCAATTTATAAATATAAATAAGTTTTTACCTTCTGTTATGTGTTCAACTATCTCCCGTGGTACATATATCTGATATCTCTGATAACTCTACTATTAGAGCATCTTTCATCATTTTAAAGTTATCTGCAATTTTATTAATTAATGTCTGGCGGCATAAAATTGTTGTACCAGGGGATAGAGTTTTAATCATCATGGTAAATAATGGATTATCAACTAAGGACATTGGCTGAACTCTATAAATGATAAAATCAACAATAACTTTATCAGCCAATTTCTGAGAAATATTGTAATTTGCATTATTAATTAATTTGGTTTGGATTGAATTAGTCTTTTTTGATGTAGAGTCGCCTATACCAAAATTATTAAATGTTTCTCCATTTCCTTAAAACTCATGAACAGTCTTATAAAATAAATATTATTAGAATGTAAAAATGACAATTTACCTTTAAGTGTTTCTTGAGGTTATAGCTACTGGATTGATTTGAGAAAATATTTTTTTTTACATTTTAAACAAATAAATTTGAAACCAGTTTTGGTTATATATTTATTTAAAAAAATTTTCAAATCTAGGGGATGGGAAATTTGTATTATAGCTATTAAAAACATTTTCTTGCCTGGTATCTTCCATTTCATTAATATCATTGTCTGAATCAATTTCAACGATTTGAATATCCATAGGCGATGACATTTTAAATTATTAACACGTGATTTAGGTTTATAATACAAATGAAAATATAAATTACAAATTGAAATTATATTTTAATTTCAAAATTAAATAATAAATCATAAAAATTATAATTAATTATGATATTATATTTAAATTTTCATGTTTACACTTACCTTCATTATATTTTTTATAGCGAAGTAGCGGCTACTTAGCTACCCTCAAAAAAGGTAGTGCTAAAAAATTAAATTATTACAAAAAAGGTAGCCGCTATTATCTATAGCTACCAAAAAGGTTAGCGCGCTACTTTAACAACTCTGGTTGGGACTAAATTTATTATCATCACTGACCATAAACCACTAATCAACATTTTCACCAAGGGACTCAAGGACAATAATACCATGTCCTTAAGGAAGTGGAATATCATTTTGGGGGGTTACGACTTCAACATAAAGTATAAAGCAGGTAAATACAATGTTATTCCTAACTGCCTTTCAAGATTACCACAAGAAATTAGTGATAATGTTATTGAAAATATTGATTTTGTTGCATACCACGACTCTCCTAAGAAGGACTTACGGAAGTGTGGACAAAAATATTAAAACTAATGATAAAAATATTGTAACAGCGATTCCTAGACCGATACGAAGTAGACAAAACCTGTTTATCTAAAAGATTATATAACTTAAAATATTAAAATATGTAAAAATAAATTAAATAATAAAACACGAAAAATTAAATTAAATACTAAAACACGAAAAAAAAAACAAAAAATGGGTAAACGCAAAATAAAAATAAAAACGCTAAGAATATCATATAAAAAAAATAAAAACGCTAAAAATATTATCTAACAATCTTGTTGATTTATCATCCTTTTATTATTCTACATCCAAATTTGATCAATTCTCTGATTGTTCATATATTCCAACATCCTATTTGATAATAATAAAGATAATAACAATTTTGAAAAATTGATAAAAATCACGATTTATAACTTACGATAAAAATATCAAGCTTACGATTTAAACAAGCCAACGTTTAAGACGACTTATGCAACAACTTGACAATCAAAATGATAAATCATTTGGATGACAAGCTTTCTATGACAGCTCAGATGGATTATGGGTAGGTTTTTCAGAAGAAGGGGAATGTTAATCGTGATTGACTTTTTAAATTTGTTTAACTTAAACTGCTTTTATTTTAAACATGTAAGCCTTTAACCATGTATTTCGTTTAAATTGTTTTATTATAATACATATATATATATACCTTATTTTATATTTATTTTTAGTATCATTTTTAGTTTTAGATATATTTATAATAAATAAAATATTTTTTCTTGTCCATACAACACCACAGTTATTGATATATAACACCTATATAGCATGTTACAACAATAAATCAATTTACATATTAATTTAATAATTTATATAAAAAAATCAATTTAACAATTTATATTAAAAAAAATCAATATAATAATTTATATAAACACAATTTAAAGGTTAGTATTAATCAGGTCATATCAACAATGACTTAATAATGTCTCTATAAGAAAACGTTTAATGGAAGAAGAGAATAAAATTTTCGAAAATGAGTTAATTTGATATTACTATATTTGATACAATTGATTTTAATATTTTGGCCTTACAGGCCACCATATTTAACAGTTTTAATTAGAATATAGTAAATAAAAAAACGAATTTTATTCAATCCTTTAAATATAATAGATAGTCTATAAATTCAAAATGAATGTTACTTGTCCATTTTAAATTTACCTGTCAATTCTTACTCTTGTAATTATAAGTTACACCGGTTTTTCATGAAAAATTTGCAATGTTTTTGGTTTATGTGTTTAATTTTAAGAGGTATTGCTGTATTTAGCCAAAATTTTTATAAATCTTTTTTAAATCAGGTTTAAATCAAAGCTTAAATCCAAAAATTACAAAAGTAAGTAGCAAGACTTTATTGCACAAGGGAAATGTAGCTCGGCTTGATTGTTTTGTACAATATTTAGGCGATTATACGGTATTTTTTATTAAATAGCTAAATTATTGATACCTTATTAGGTATCATGGATAAAAATAGCTGATTCTAATGGCCAAAAAGATTTTCCAAATGTACTAACATCTGGTGGTACAAGAGTAACCCAGGATACACGAATTACTATTAGAAGTGAAACTAATCAGCAATATACATTAGAAGTACGAGATATAAATGATGAGGATTCAGGGGTTTATCAATGCCAGATATCTACAGATCCATTAATATATAAAGATGTAGAACTTACTGTTTTATGTAATTATATTTGACTTAAAAACTTAATATTGCCTTTAGAAAATTGATGTTTAAAACTTATTTTAATTTTTGATTTTTTTAGACCCACCAAAAATAGTATATACCCCTTCTGACATATATTCACAAGAAGGAAGCACTGTAAAATTAAGCTGCAATGCAACTGGTTCACCAAAACCAAAGATATATTGGATGCGTCTTGACAATGACATCTTACCTATGGGGGGTCTAAAGTAAATATTTAAATTTCATTAATTTATAATTATTATATGATTTTTGTTTGAATAAAAATTTATGCATAAACATTATACAATTCATACATCTTCAAATTGAATATGATAATATAATAGTCATAAAAAAATAATATTTAAATTATTTATATATTTTTTCTGCATTATTGTTAATGGCTTGATTACTTTAATTTATTTTATTTCCACTAATTAAATTTATTTAAATCACAATTTAAATATTAAAGATTTTTCACTTGACATTTTTGAGTTAGGAGTGGATTTTAATTGATTTATTTCCACTAAATATACAAATTAAAACTAATAAAAATTTTAATTATTGGCCATGTTACTGTCAATTTTGTGCTATTTTAATTTTTGTTAAATTAGCACAAGCTATGGTATTATATTTTATAATCACCCATTGTTCACCTTTTTTAAATTTTATGAAAAAATATTAGTGTTGTTAAACGGCTCGTTTTGAGCCGATTTTTAAAAATATCTAACTCAATACTTCATCCAAAAAAATATTACACAAGCCTGAACATTTTGCTCATAGAAGGAACAAAGGTCTATACATATATTATCGAAATCTTGAGGCTTAGGCAATATTTTTCTGCCTAAAATATTGAGTTAGCCGTTTTTAAAAATCGGCTCAAAACGAGCCGTTTAATAACACTAAAAAATATGTATAAAAAAAAATTATTTAAATATTGGCATAATTTTTTTTTCAGCTAAATTATTATTTAAAAGAATAAATTAGAATTAAATAAAGATTTTATGTCTATATTAGATAATTTGATGATTTATAGTAGTTACCCATGTTTTAAGAAATTCTTCTAAATAATTAAAAAAAATGGAGCATTTTGAACAAAGGAATAATTCTTAAAGTATTTATTCTGCAACCTTAATTTTATCAAATAAATTTTAGAAAAAAATTTTTAAGTCCCTTTTTTAGGCTATCATTTGGAAATAGTATTATAAATTGCCTCTCAATTTTTACTTACAATTTCGTATATTGAATCTAAAATATAAAATCTTTTTTCCCAGAAACAAATTTGCAAGTGGAACACTCTAATTCTAGATATACACTAATTTATATTCTCAATTTTGTAATTTATTTTATAAAGAATATTCGTCAGATGAAAATGATCAGTATTAATTTTTTTAAAATAAATAAAGAAAATTAAGGGTAAGTTTACACTTTTACCCTAATTCGAATATTTTAATCTCGATATCCACCACCTCAAAATAAATCGTATGAAGGTAAAAATATAAATTCAGATTAAATTTTGATAAAGTTTATTTGAAGTGAAGATGATTTAATAAGTTTTTTTTTCAAAAATCAATTCTTCCGATTAATTGTTATTTATTAAATATAATACAACCCTCCCATCCTCTGTGCCAGTTGAACGTGTGTTTAGCGTAGCGAAAGCTATGTTGAGGTTAATCTGATCAAAATTTTGAAAATCAATTGTCAAAAATAAATTAAAAAAATTATTACAAAAGAAACCTATAATATATTATTTTTATATATTTCGTATTTTTTAAGTGACGAGTCCTTTTTTTTACAAGGTAATGAGTAATGACAATTGTTATTTTTTTTTTCTAAAACGAGTAACACGTTTCTTTTTTGAAGTAATGTTTACAGCACTAGTAAAATCTAATATAATAAATGCATGTTCTAATAAAACTTTGCTTCAAGATTCTGGAGTTATTTTTTTTCAAAAAATTTGAATAATGTAAGAAAATAGTAATTTAATCTTTTTATTATTAAAAAATAATTATGATTTTTGACAACCTTATTTCCTGATTACTAAATCAGCAAGGTTATTATTAGAATAGCATTGTCAAAATTTTCAATTTGAACCTCTGTTGGGTCATTTCATTTAGATAAAATTTGATTTTGATAGGACCCCTTAGGATTTGGGCGAGATCTTATACAAACTAAGGTACACATAGCCAGGATTATTTACATATTTTTGGAGACTACCAAGGGTCAAAATTTTAATGATCTATTTTTACACTATTCAATTGTTCCTCAATTAAAGATTTAACTCAAAAACTACAGAATAATGTTTCAAATATATTATTTTTAAATGTGGAGGTCCTTAAGCCCCTTTAAACTCTTAAAAGACTTATAAAAAATAACTAAGGTCAACTAAGACTAATCCACATTTGTATAACAAAAATTTGAATACCAAGTTTTCGCTTTCAGAGTAATTTATCTAATATATTTAAAATATTAATCGAGAATCTACAACCTGTATTTAGAAATTTTTTTTAATTTTACAAAAAAATTGAGATTGTTTGAATTTTTTGGGAAATATTTGTACCAAAAATTAAACTGCCGAAATATGTGTTGTATTTGTATTTTAGTGTTTTTTTTATCGATTTTATTATAAAAAGTGAAAACTTAGTATTCCAATTTTCTTGTAAGTTTTTAGATCTCGATGACACTCATTTTTTTTCTAAGTAAACTTTAAAATGGGGTTAAATAGACCGCCACATTAAAAAAAAAGGTAAATAAAAATATATGGATTTTGTTTTGATTTTAGAATTGTTATTATCTATAATTCGTAGTTTTTTTTAGTAAATCTTTAATTGAAGGAAAATCCATGAGCTTAAAAATAGGCCATTTTTCATATTTTGACCCCTGGTAACATCAAAAATATAACAGCTAGGGTGTTAAATAAAATTTAAACACTCCTTAAGTCACGTGTACCTTAATTTGTTATATAAAAGTTCACCAAATTCCAAGGGGTCATGCAAATACCATATTTTTATTTTACTTTATTATTGATATTTGGAAGCTACTTTAAAGAATCTTCCTTTTAATAGTTAAATGACATGTAGGGGATCTGGAAGCTCTTCCAGTTACTCTGCTCAAAAATATCATAAGAAACATAATATCTTAACCCTGCATTCACAGTTAACACGAATTTGCGGCGATAGGCATATTTGCCTATTTTGCCCACATAACCACAAATTCGCGTTAAACTGGGAATGCAAGATAACTCAATGGAGCTGGAATCTATATCTTACTTTTTCAAAATAAAAAAAATATTTCATGAATTCATTTTCGGCATGAACGTTGCCCACTATAATAAAAAATAGGATGAAACAGTTAAAATCTCGATTTCTTTTCTCTAACTCCGGATCACAAAATTAATATTTAAAGAAATAAATTATCGGATTTTACATCTATAATTATATATATTTTTTTAAGAGTATAAAAGTATATTATATTTATTTTCAAATTGTAATAAATACAAGATTTTTCTGTGGCTGAAAGAAGGTTTCCTGGTCCAAACTTTTTCTTTTTAAAGTATTTCGGGGTATTGTAAATGGAAATTTATATGATATAACAAATTATTACTTAATGGATTTTTGTAATTAAGGGATATTTGGTTGTTTTGTTGATATCCTTTGATCTGATTCTTTGACATTATTTTTAGAGAGGCATGTTTTATCGTGTATTGATCATTTTCTGCTAATTGAATGAATTATATCTTAATGCGATCTCACCTTGCCACTTGACAGTAGATAGTGGGCGACTTATGATAGCCTTAGAGACTTTTCTACAAACTAGAAACATAAAGAAATGCTTAATATCGGTACTTTATAATTTATAGAATTTATCAGATACATGCAGAGGTACAAATTAAAAAAAATTATTTTCAAGCTCCCCGAATTTTTTGTTTTTGATGATTTTTAATGTTCAACCCAAGTTATTTTCAATATAATTTTGGATATAATTTTGCAAATTATATCATAGGGAAATTCAAAATAGTAGCAGTAAATGAATATTAAACAGAACGTTATAAGATATTCCAACCTTTTTTTCGCTGATTTTAATATAATTTTTAAAGAAAATTGGTCTGGGCCTGATTAATTTTTACTTGTTCATAATTTCTTTGAAAAAAATTGAGGCAAATTTATGTCCTTTTCCTTCATTTTAAAAAATAATACGGTTCGGGCCAGACAACTTTCTAACAAAATATTTTACGAACTGGGGCAATGAATATTTTCAAAAATCTTAGCTAACTCGAGCCGCATCAACTTCTAAGTTGATTACTCCCTTTATTTCTTATATTTACATATTAGTTTATCGCAAGTAAATTAAAAAACCAATTTTATCAGATATTTAGGTTATGAAATGATTCTAAATAACATGCAAAGGAGTGACAGAGGTGCTTATATATGCGTCGCCGAGAGTCCTATTGGCACTCATCGAAGGGTCGTGTCTGTGTTCATGGAATGTAAGTGTTTTCACTTTTGTAATCATAAAATTTGAAGTGTTTTTTTTGTAAATAAAAAAATAACTTATAATCCTTTTATAACATTTCGCAAGTGAGGAGAACGTAAAAAGGTGAAAACCATCTTTAACGCTTTTATTTTGTAATATCTAAATTACAGATATACACAGACCTCAGATTGTCCCGTAGGCGGGCTGTGTTGATCTTTACACTAAATACATTTAGTTTTAGATATGAGTAAATCCAATTCTAGAGTCAAATTGTTCATAAATTAAGTTTTACACTTTGAATTCTCGTGCTCTGCTTATATATTTAAGTCATAATTGCCGTTTTTCCTTGCAAGACTGAGGTCGTGGGGGAGGGGCATCGTATTACAAATTTTTGAAAATAGCTTATTTAAATATTATCACTTTTTTGCCACTTATTTCTTATTTGTTTTAAAAAGTTGCTCCCAAAATAATAACCGAAAAACGCAATCTTTTGGTAGCGCAAGATTTGAATTCAAAGGCGGAACTAGAATGCGTTGTGGAAGGCACTCCTAAAGCCAACGTTCACTGGACTTACCAAGGAATGGAAGTATAAATTCATAATAATCCCATTTTTAGCTAATAAATTTGGTGAGTATTATTTCAAATTTATAAATAAAGTACCACGAGGTCACATCTAGTTTGAGACATATTTTAATCAATTTGAATTTCAACCTCTTCACTAAATTTTATTTTTTCCTTCTTTATTTTTGGAATCCTCTATTAGATCCATGGAGACTATTATAAAACAGCTTTGCTGGAAGAAGGTTATGATACAGTTATCAGCGATTTAACTATAAAAAACGTTAAAAAAGGCGATTTAGGTGATTACACCTGTGTGGCCGTCAATAATTTTGGCAGGGATGAAAAAACCTTTCGTCTTTTTGGTATAAATCTTTTTGATTTTTTTAAAGTGAGGTTAAGTTAAATTTAATCAATCGTATAAACCAATAATTTTCATGGGGGAGGGGGTGATTATATATTATAATTTTTTTTTATTTAGAACTATAAATAAATTGTATACCTTTTAATATCTTATTTCAATTTTCAAATATGAAAGTAATGTTTATTTCTAAGGTAATGTAATATTCGTTGATTTTTAATAACCTTTCCTAGTCAACAATTGATATAAAATATCGTTCTCACTGCAAGACCTCGTACACAGCTTTTTTTAAAAAAATGTTCAGGATAAACAAATAACATTTCTAATAAATTATTATAACGTTTTACTTAATCTTATGAGTTATAATATTTTTTCCATAAAATATTTTATTATTAAAATGTGGACATTTTTGGATATCCTACTAAGTACCCTTTTTAATCTTTTATGTGATTATTTTCTGCAAAATTATTACTTACAAAGGACGTGCAGTGAGAACTACGGTATATTATATAATAAATTAAATGATATATTATTTGATAATATATATATTATATTTATTTTGTAAAAATAATTAGATGCCGTTAAAGGGAATTCCGGTATCACCAACCACGAATCTCTAAATTATCAATATGTCTTTATTTTATCAATTTTCATTATCTACCAAACGTTATTATACTCAAATTTTTGACAATCTTAATCTTAACCTATATTTATTTATCGCATTTACCATTAAATTATTTATTATTTTTTAAATGACATCATGTGATATTTTTTGCATATTTTTTTTTAATTAAGAGAAAATGTATTTCTATATACTTTTTTAAAAATTTTTTTTTTATAAACCAAAACATTTCCGTCCATTTTTGGGTAAAATTATTTATATATAAATAATATTTTAAAATATTTTTTGATGGAATCTGACTAATTTTATATAATGATGTAATTATGAAGATGAAACAAATATTCGTAAATTGTAAAATTAAATACACGAATCATTGTATACATATTTATTATAATAAAATATTTTTGGTCTGAATTTATAGGAAATTATTAGTGTTGTTTTATTGAAGGGAATGTAAAGGGCTAAATGTAACTAGTTACTTTTAAAAATATTCATATATATTATAAATATATTCAAATAATAAATTTATTTTTAATATGTTATTTTATAATAAATTAATAATAGATTAAACTTATTAATTTAAAATTTTGTTTAAAATATCTGATTCTGTATGCTGGCCTTTTATTTATATAGTAGCCAATCTAATTGTCAAAGAAGGAACTCCGAGGATTGGCAATGTAGTATAATTATTCCAGTATACAAGGGAAAAGGGATCCTTTAGATTGCGGGTCTTATAAACTCTTGGAACTTGCAAAGAAAGTATTGGGTGTTATAGAAGCAAATAAGGGAACAAAATTAATGAAATAATGCAGTTTGGTTTTAAACATGGGAAAAGCACAATAAATGCAAATTTTATGGTAAGACAAATTCAGAAGTATTTTGCAAATGAAAGAAACTATATTATGTGTTTAAACTATTCGTAAATTAAGAAAATCCCTCCAAAAAAAGATACAAAAAAAATAAATAAAAATAACCAAAAGTAATTATGGCTCACAAATAATAACCTTACCGAGTCTCCTAAGTACCACAATGACTATATAATAAATTAATGAATGTAAAGAAATATCATTGTAAAATCCGCGTCAACAAAACTTCAGATTATAATACCTCCGCTTTTACAAGCGACCAAACAGACTGATTGTTTCGTTGATTGCAACATTTATTAACTCCCGGTATCTAATGCGTTTCTCGCATAGAAGTTGTTTCCAGTAGACACTACCGTTGTTTATTCCAAAATTTCCATAATCCTATTTCTTATTTCGTCTTCTTCTAAGACTTAATTTGGCTGCCTGTATTTTACTTTACCATGGGATTCGCGGCCAGATAAAATTCCCAAAACTAATTAACTCTCAAGTATTCAATCCGTTACATTTCAGGATAATATTTATTAAATATAACATTTTTTTTAAGAAACTAGAACCCTATCTTTAAAAACTCGATCAATTTATATAACTCATAAAGATTTAAATATTACATCACCCGAAAAGCACGAAGAAATTAATATAAATATTCTTATATTTTTTTTATTCCCTTTTTTTATATTAAATTTAAATAAGACACCTAAAATTTTTTTTTACATAAGATATCTTTGGAACTTAATATTGCTTTCCCCACTCATTTAATTAAACGAAAAACTAAAATCATTAACAATTATGGTATGAATTTAAATACTTTTCTTTTATTTGATTTTAGGAAAAAACACCTTTTTATTTTCTGTATAAAAAATGCACACTTTCGCTTATTTTTTTGTAACTCTTAATTTTTTTAATTTATCCAATATATAAGGCTTATTTTTTTTAATTTATCCAATATATTCCCTGACCAGAATTCGCAGCACATTCACCCATACCTCACCGATATGTCCTTTATTTACTATTTATTTTACTACACTTACCAAAAAAAAATCCCGATTATTAATTAAAAAAATTTGACAAACAAAAAAATATCACTTCCTTCAAAATTAACCTCCCTCCAACATTATACCAATTCCATAAAATTATTTAATACATTTTCCAATAACCCATACTCTCACAATCACTAGCTATCAAAAATATCTACAAAACACATTACCACTACCAAAATACAACACCCCCCCCCCCCTCTTCCCCCCTACTAAGAATTACTCTATACACCATTTTATTTTAACCACAATTTCGCAAAAACCTCTCTTTTATTACCAATAATAACCAAACCTTTGTAGCTATAAGCTCAACAACTCGAGGTTGTCCTCAAGGCCAAGAAGCATATTGTTAACCCCGTTAAATCTTAAACACCAAAAGTGAAGGGTTTCTCAGCCACTTAAGACCATGTACCAGAGCCTACATAAATAGACAAGTAACTCAAAGCGATGAGGATTGAAGTAAGCAACTCAAATGCTATATATTGTCACCTTATTACTCTTTAAAAGCTAAGAGGATAATAGCGATGAAGCATACTGTTCATATTGAAATATTAACATATTTATAGAAATAACTAAAATTTTTAAATTAACACTCATCATAATAAGGGTATATCTCTGATTCACACCTCATAAGATAGGTTGATTTCTGATTTATTTATTATCAAATAGGGGGATTTTTCAGACTAATCCATTATTAAATTAAGCAAAAAACTGTGATTCGCCCTCATTTTGACGGGCTATCAACTAGTAAAAAATATATTTTTAAATTAAATATTTTATGGGTGTTAAAAATTTAAAAACGCAACCTTTTATGCAGCATATGACCTAAGAAAATTTAATATCTAAAATTATTTATAGGAAGCAATTTGGTTGACGAATATCGTGAATTATGACACTCTTTGGTAAATAATTAATTAAAAGATTACCTTGCTATTTATTTGTATTAAAATGTTGTTACATTCTTTATATAATAAAATTATAATTTCCAATATGCTTTAATTTTAATATTAGTTTCTAAAATATTAAGCGACATCTACATATAAAATATTTTATTATTTTTATTAAAACGTCTTTTATTTTGGACATATAGTGAATATTATGAAATATATTTGATAATAATAGCAATTATTATTTGAATATTTCGCTCAGAATAAAAACTGAAAAATTCAGAACAGTATTCCTTAATGGCTCAGAATTAAATACTTGAATCTAAACTAATTTTTTTCTTTTGGAGATGATTTTGCTAAGTAAAAATTTTGACATTCTAAGAATTTTTTATATGCTGGATTTCTTAGAAAATGTACTAATTTAGAAATTTTTTTTATTTTGATTTTTTTTTATATTTAAGTTAAATGGTTTTTTATGTAAAGTTAAATGGCTTTTGAAAATACGTGATAAAACCGTTTTCGCCCTCTGGTTGTGGATACAACAGGGCTACGCTAGGCATTCCTCAAAAATCCATCAAACTGGATAGTTAATTGGGGGGGGGGATGAGGAGCTCTTCACACGTTTGTGGGCAGGCCGCACGTACTGTACGCACAACGGTCCGAGAACGGTTGTTTAAACGTCTTATATGCTAATAACAAAAAGAATTGGGCAAAACAAAAGCCTATACCCGAGAATTGTAAAAATAATTTAATGACTTTAAGGGTGGGTGGTGGCTTATTTTAAGTTTAACATCTTTGATGTAAGCCTTAATGATTACCATAAATATTGAGCATATGTTCATATCAATTGAATTTCGAATTATACTCATAAAAAAATAATACAAAATCAACTAATCGCTTATATTTGAATTTTTTTAATACTAAAATATGTCATTTCTCTAGGTCCTCAGGTCTAGATCAACACAGGAAGGGAGGAGGGTGATAATACAACTTCTAAAAAGTTGCTTGTCACAAATGAAACCTAATAAAATGTTTTTTTTTTGGGAGGGGGTGTAGATTTTAAAAAGTTATATAAACAAATGTATCTAACATATCGATTGAAAGTTTGCAAAAAGATATTACATTGTTACTCCATATTTTCTGGATAATTCTAGGTAGGGGTGAAAAATTTATCTTCACATGGTTATTAAAATAAAATAATTTTTTGACTGTTTTATTAATCATCTACATGACTATAAATTATGATAAAATAAGACTATTACAAATTATCTTGTAACGGATCTTAACTGAAATAAAATGCATATATCTTTTGATTGTATCATCATTCTTAATCTACAAATCTAAGTTAAGTGGGTCGGGTTATGAAAACCTATTCTTAAAAACGACTCAATATCTTCATTGCAGATAGATCTGGTCAATTCTAACAAACTCAAATAAATCCATAAAAAGAAATTCAATTAGCTTGACAAAACTGGACCACTCAGAGCCAATAACTACGCGATACCAACTCAAAACCAAGTACCAAAGTCAAGATAGCAACCCAAAATTCAGAAAATTTGTTTAAATAAAATATTAATCAAAGCTACTCAGTATTTAAATGTTTGGCACTATATACAAATCAGGCTCTGATGACTTATAAACATTAATTCAACATTGGCTTTCCATTAATCTGTTTTTAAAAAAAAAATTTATTTAAATATTTTATTTCCTCGAATTCCCTTAGATAAACTATTATAAATTTGAGCGGCTTAGAATTATGACCGAGTTCACTATATTTATGAAAATTTTTAAACACCTTATAATTCTTTCCTTAAATAATTCAGAGGAATCAATAATTTTTCTTTTTCCTAATTCTTGATTAATATTTCCCCAAGATTTTTATAAATATATAATTTAATTTAAAAAAAATACAATGATTACAAATAGTAATTACATTCAATCTATTTAATATAAAATTTACAGATTTAAAAAAATAAATAATATATTCAACTCCAAATTATCAGACTTTATAAATATTATTATATAAAAATTGGACACAAATTAAAAAAGATTCTAGGTTTAAAAAAAATTTTGGACATATTAGATAAATTAAGAATAATATACACATTTATAAACTGAATCTTTCAAAAAAAAATATCATACTTTATAACAAATAATTTAAAGATTATTTTCACTTTAAAAAAAAATATAATAGGAATTGGAAGATTAAATATTTTTTGTTAGAATGAACATTTTGTATTTTGATTATATAAAATAGAAACTAAAAATTTAAAGGCTAAAAAGCAGGAAATTATAAAAGGATCTAAACTGTAAAATGTTAAAAAAATTTTTTTTAATTTTTCTTATAAAATCTTTATGTGATTATTTTTTAAATAAAAATAGAATCCATATAAAAATAAATTTACAAAAGCTGACTCGAAAATAAATTATGAGGTAAATTTTAGCGAATACGCGAAATAAATATTGCCGCGTTAACTTCCCCAAAATTGATAAAACATTCTTGTAATAATAAATATGACTATGATTTCGTTTTTTTGACTTAGTAAATAAATAGGCGTCGGCTCAGAGCGGCAAGTGACCACAGAGTGATGCGGTAAATTGTGCTTTACTCTATTTAATTTGAACTGTGCGTCGTCGGGGGTTGTTGTCAAACAATATTGATAATTATTCTTATTATCAAGAATATTTTTATTTTAAAATAAAATGTTTCATTATATATATTGAAATATATTGCAATTTATATTTAATTTCAAATAAAAAGATGGAAAGAAGGCCATGCATCATTTTGTGTATTAAATAATTGGTATAAAATATTCACAAGTAGAGACAGAGTGTCGAACCAGTAGTTTTAAAGGTTCAGTTCCATAATTATAAAATTATAAGGGTTTAGTTACACTTCGGTGATGTATGAAATAAATTTGTATTAGTTAGATTCGGTCTCGAAATATATATATCGTATTTTTAGAGTTCGTTAAGGCTATTATAAGTTTTGATTATTCATAAAATAATGCATAATATACTTTATTAATTGACCCATATAAGCAACATTTTGCATAACAAAATTAGAAGCCATACCGTATAATGTTCCGGCCCATCAATACTTGTATATGAATAGGAAATAATTATGGCTTGCAAGAATTTTACCACCGTTTAGAGCCTAATCTTCATTTATAAACCTTTTCTCCCTTTCCTCCCTAGATATGAAATCAAAAACTTCCTATAAGTTATCCTAAATATGCCCATTTCTCCGAATTTAATTGGGAGATATTTTAAATAACGACCAAACAAGAGCTTGAGATTTCCCCGTTTCAGTTTGATATTTTTGACATTCTTCATTTCACCCTGTCTTTAATTCGAAAAGATTATTAGTAAGATTGTGAAGGGAAGATATAGTCAATTTGAAACTGCCTATGGAGGAAAAAAGCATGCCTTTCATTTCTTTTACAGCCTATGGCAAGAAGAGACTTTCTTAACCCTATTTCTTCACTGAAAACACATGCATTTCTTAAATATTTGTGACAAAATTACAAGCATGAATGGCTAGATGCTGTTTTGAGTTTTAATCTTGATCTTGCTATATCAAGATAAATAATTGAGGGTGACAATAAGATATAGATTATATTGCGACATATGTCTACCTCATAAATGCAAAGGGTGTGGGAAAAAGAACAACCCTAAAGATAGGGGCGGTTTATCTACCACAGATCAATTAATTTGATAATCTCGAATAAATCAGGTTTGGCTAACTATGTAAATTAACTTGAACCCATTCACTTACCCCTCTCTGATGGCAAAAGACCAGATGGCCTTACTCTTTAGTTTATAGTGAAGTATCTCATTTGGATTTCATATATGTTTCCCAGTTCCCCTTCAATCCAAACATTAACCCGATTATAAGAGTTGAAAGGTAGAAAATCATAAAGTATCATGCCCTTTCAGAGTATCATTATGCCCCAATAATATTTCTACCAATAGGTCCTTTGGTCCTCTATGCTATAATTATTTTAAAATTATAGGTGAAAAATTTCTTTAGATTCAAATGGGGATCTTTTAAAATCTTACAATCAACCAAATAGCCGTGCCCCGAATAAACTATATAAGTTTCTTAGGAACTCAATGACGGCTTTCTTATCATTTATGATATTATTTTTTTTAATATCCTTATTTTTTTTAAATATGGAAATTTTATTAAATTATTTTTAATATATATTTTTTTAAAATAAATATTTTAGAAAAACTGCTATGAACTTATTTAAATTATTTAGATAGTATTTGTAACGACTTGATTCTCTCTTTTTAAAATATCTTTATAATGGTTCGGTTACGGAAAAAAATTTATACCGGTTTATTTTGATTTCGCAGTTATATTTTACATCCTGTGTAAAAAAGGGATTTAGTGATTCCCCAGAGAATTTATTTTAAAATATAATTATTTATATAGAAAGGCTATAAATAATCTTTCTCAAGTTAAATTTAAGAATTGTTAGCATTTCATTTGCACAACATCGGTAAAGTGGTGGCTTGTCTCATTTCCAAATTTTTACCAGTGCAATTTTTTATTTTAAACGGAATATTATGTTATGTCTTTACATTGCATAAGGTCGTAGCGAAACAAGGTGGACATATCAAACCACCCCTATGGTTATAACCATCTGAATATATTGTGAAGGATATGTTTTGACCCTGATAAATGCATTCGAACGTATAATTGAGTACTTGGATGTACAAGGCTGTTGAGTTGCAGAAAATCTTTATTTTAAAAAGGTGATTTTAATTTGTAAACTATTTTATAAATACATTAATGCCTTGTAAAAAAAAGTAGGTAAATAAATAAGCATAACTTTAAATTAACTTCTGTTCTTCCTTCCTTCCTGCTTCCTTTCTATTTCTATATCAATAATGCAAATAATTTTTTTAAAAAAAATAGATTTTACTTTATAACATCCACTTCCATAATGATACCAAGATATAATTTTATTGCAATCAGATTTTAACCATCTGCGACTGTGGAATACACAGGTAGAATCTTGCCCGTAATACTCTAAGGCAAAATTTTCCTTTTTAGCTTAAACAACAAAATAAATCATGTAATAAAGACTATCTTTATTTTATTTATAGTAAATCTTAAAATTGCAAATTTTGGATTATATAACAGTTAGAAGTTTTGAGGACAACTTTTCCATAATTTAATGGGAACGTCTCGGTATTATTGAAGTAAATCATTATTTGCCCCCAATTTTGATAAAATATTTTATATAAATTGAATTAGATAATATAGAAACCATTAAAAAGGTTACAATTTTCTTCTTATCTAGGGGAAATGATCTAAGAAAACTTTTGACAATTAGGGCTCAAGCCAAAAATTTTTTATAACTAAAAATTAAAAAAAAATATATTTAATATTTAATAAAATAGAAAAAGGCGCCATTTTAAAATTTATTATCCTTCCTTCATCTTCTTATATAATTCAATAGATTGGACTTACGAGGCATATTTTCGTCGTGTTGGCATTCGAATGCCTTAGATTGTTTATCGACTTTAAAGATAAATTCTTGAATGAAAGGGCAGTAATCGGCTAATAAAACCGAACCCCCGTAATGTGCTAAAGCGTTGGAATCTCCGTTATGTTCAAGACCGGGGATGTTTATAAAATTCTAGGTGGGGGGGCAAGGATTAAATAATAATAAAAATACAAGCAGATGAAATGGGTAACTTCAGCTGATTAAGTGTAAAGTAGGCCTAATTCAAAAAAGAATACGAATCGAATTATAAATTATTCATATTTGTTTAGTTTAAATAAATCGAATAATTTGCTATTCGCATTGGTGAAAATTAATTCGTATAATTATGAAATAGTAATTCTCTCTTAAAGAAAGATTTCTTAATTCGTTTTGAAGAAAAGAATAACTAATTATTAAATTCGTAATCGTTTCTGAATAGGTCTAGTTTAAAGGCAAGAGATTATTCATCATTTTAAAAAATATGAAAAAAATTGATAATTATTAAAGATTTTATCAGTTCATTAAATTACGATGCACCGGATTTGTAAGAGCAGATACATCGGCGATACTTTAAAATAACCATTTCCTATTTTCAATAAAAAACATTGACAAATTCAAATGTCATAAAGTTAAAAAAATTCTAAAATTAAATAATGACTAAAATAATTTCAAGTCAAGAGCTAGTATGGGGTTGAATCTAAAACGAAAAGAATAAAGGTAATAAAATTTGAATATGTAGTAGAGGGTGACCGGGATTACAGGGCAGATATTTTGCTCTTTTGTGATAAAATTTTATTTTATAAGATTACACTAATTGTATCATTAGATAACCTCATTATTATATTACAAAATTTAAAAGAAAAAATAGGCTTCCTACCTTTTATACTGTGGGCGCTACTTCTACTAAGTAAAAGTCTTAATTTTTACTATTCACCAAAGACTGGGTAAGATGGCAAGCCCTTTGGGATAAGATACAATATAAATAACCCATAAAATTTTTTTTTATTGTTTATAAATAATGCGTAATTAAAACAAAAAAAAATAATTAATATTAACATTGAATATGCTTCGCACTTTTAAACTGAGAAACCATATTTTACCACCCTCTGCCTACACCTCTTCCATAAAAATAATTTGGCTAGTAAAGCAGTCCATGCCTATGATTTTAACTTAAAATAAAATAAGAACTTGATATTCTAATGAGAGAGGATTATCGTATATGACTAGGTTGCAAACGGCCATGGATTTTCTATCAGCACTGCATTCTGTTATTAAAGGATGGGATTTGATTCGGACGCAATAAGGACTGGGATCGGATTGGCTAAAAAATAAAGTAAATAATACATTTAAAAATTAACGACTTATTTATAAAAGATAAAATTTTTGCAATATTTTTATTTGCAAAAAGAGAGGTAGCGATGACCTATCAGTATAGGATTTTGGCCTTAAGCTCTTAAACATAGGCGCACATATGATGTTTTTGGGGGTGGGACGGGGGAATACTCATGGGTGGTTTTTATTTCACCTTAAATTTTATTGGATATTTTTTCGATCTTCTTTGAATTTAGCCATTGAGTTGAAAGGAGAAATTTTTTTATTAGCTATTTATAAAAAAAGCAGGGTAATTTGCTAAGGGGGAGGGAAACTATTTAGTGTAAAAGAAAAAAAAGAAAGAGAGTATAATATCAAGATAATGAATACATTTAATGAACATCAAATATAAAAAAGAGGGAAAAAATTATCATATAATTATTCATTTATTCGAGAATATAAATTAAACCAACCTCAATAAACGATGTTGAATCCAAGAAAAACAACTTTTTTCGATAAAATCGCATCCCAAATTTTTCCCCCATGCCAAATCTTCCGCCATACTGTAATTCACTAGATACCAGCTGTTAAAAAAAATAATTTTTAAAAAATATATTTATATCAAAAAATTATCAATTTCTGTTCAATCGGACTATTTAATTATTTAAATGCCAAAAATAATGCGAGACCCAGAGGAGGACGGGTTTGATTTACCAGGTTTACCAGAGGCCTATAGGCCCGGCCCTAAGCCCATACACACGGGCCGGGCTGTAATTTAATTTTTTAATATACCGGACTGGGCAAAAAAAAATTTTTTAAAAAAAATACCAAGGCCGGGCAGAATATTTTAAATCGCCATTATTATCTATAAAAATTAAAATCTTTAAAAAAAATTTTTTTAATAAAAAATCCCGGACGAGTTATGCAAATGGTACCTCAGCAGTGATCATAATATAATGAATTTAAAAGTATATGGCAAAAAAGGAATTCTTTCTTCCTTTTTCTTATTTTCATAAGATTAATCTTGAAATCATTGAAGAAGAAAGTATATATGAAAAATTGAACCCCGTATCTTCCATCAAAGCTAAAGTAATTCGTGAAAATACTGTATCTTGCGTGTGAGTACCGGTCATAGCTTCATTCTATATTAGGTTGTTTTTAAAATTGATTTTGTTAGATATGATTTAATGTAAAGTCGCAATACTGCCGTGAAGCTGTCATTATGTATGTTTAATTTTTGAAACATTTACGATTAGGATGATTATTTCCTCTCAGAAAATGGATTTTAAAGCTAAATAAGCTTAAGTTGCAAATTAGGTCGGGGTAACCCACTTTCTCCAACATAAATATGAGTTGCTGTAAAGACTTTAGGTGTAATTAATTTTAAATATTTCCCGATGCTTCCCTAATATACGTAAAAATCAAATTATTTTTTAAAAAAAAACAAGTTTTCTTAAAAATTTTTAATTAGAAAATGAGAGAATTACTAACTTCGAGTATTCGTTTTTCCCAGTGTGTCATAGCTGTGCCGTAATTACCTTGATTTTCTAATTCCACACCTTTAAGAGTAGAACAATTGAAATGAGAACGAGCTTCTCTCTACTTGATTTAACAGATGAAGGGGAGGGGGAGGGGGTGTTATTGATAAAACTTGATTATAATGAAGTTTTTTTTATTAGAATAATTTTATAATATTAGTGTTAAACACTGAATATTAATTTCAAGCTTTTTCCATTCTAATTCAGTTTTTTGCAAATTTTAGATAAAATTTTATTTTTTTTACTAATTTTGAAAAATATTTGAAAGAAATAAGCCCCCTTAGGTCGCAAAAGCCATTTACTCATAGGATAATGTCTCTAACAAAAATGGATACACTGTAAAAGGTCAGAATAGTCCCCAAACATAAAGGAAAAGCAAACTAATATTAGTGAAATAAAATAAACAGATAATGGCAATATTTCAATTTTAAGTATATTACCAAAACATTAGGCGTGATCATCATGTTAAACACACGAGATATATTACCACTAGCTACCTGCCAATCATTTCTGATGACAGGTCGAATAATCTTATCGCTCCATTTATATAGATTCATCCTTTGCGATAAATAAAAAAATTTAATTTTCCTTTTTTTTAAAAAAATAAATAATATTAATTGATGTTTTATATGAATAAATTGTATTATCAATCAAAATTCTAAAAAAAAAATGTTTAATATAATAAGACTTGTTGTCATAGACGGGGTCACCGTTGGCCAATCGAGGTGACAAAGGTCTTCCATCTTGGTCCCTATAAAACGCGTAAAGACTTACGCTGAAGCCCTTTTCCCCAAATATAAAATAATATACATAATTTTAATATCATCATATCAATATTATTTATAATAGAAATATTAAATCAACTTTTCTCAACTATTAATGAGATAAGAAATCATATTTCGCTATTAAGATTACGATAAAATTCGTAACACAATTGTCTTTTATACCCCACAGAGCTACCGATGCAAAATACCCTCCAAAGGTTGCCCTCGACGAATCATTTTAGGGATGTAAATTCTTCTACAAAAAAAAATGACCGAGTTCAGGTTCGGGAAAATTTTAAAAAGGTTCGGGTTCAGAGTACGGGTTCACATTGTTGTTTTAAACTCCCAATCTTCTCTATAAACGATTTTTTAAAAGATGGTATAAATATACTTTTTAATTTATTGCTACGATATGTAAAAAAATTATTACCGGGTTTCTATAGATTTAATGCACTTAATAAAAAAAATAAATTATAAATTGAAATATTTTTTTTTTTTATAAGATTGGGAAATACATTAACCATAAATAAAATTTTGGAAATATTAATTTTAAAAAAAATCACCACACCGAATAGCCTAATTGCGTTAAAAATTTAGATAAAAGAATCCTTAAGAAGAGGTCGAGTTTAACCTCTCTTCGTCCATTATAGAGATCACTGTTATTTCTTATAGGAAAGGGTGAAACGTTACATCCGATAAAAATAACGGGTTAGTGGTCGGGTTATAAAATATAATAAAATGGGTTTTGCCTAAACCTTCAAAAATGTTTTAACTCCTACGCATCACAAACTTAGTAGAACTAAGTGTAAATAACCACATAAAATCTAAAAATTACAACGAATGAACAGTATTTAATAGCTATGAATTGTTTTTCTAAGCAAATATTATTGATCTATCTGTGTGCGATTTTTTAAAAAAATCGGAATCCCCTTTAATCAAATCAGAACTGATGGGAGAACGCATATTTTGCAATAGAGGCTGATAGACATTTCGTTGGGTAGATGACCCCGTCAAATAGCAATCGATATGCAAAAATATTTAAAAAATGACCAGTGTTTCCATCACAACAAATTCATAATATAACCTTTTGCAATTATTCAACGACAAATTAAATTTTCTTATTTTATATGAATATGTTGGAATTCGATAAAACTAAATCTCTAGAAGGAAGAGCGTATAATATAATATAAATAAAATACCAAAGCGTGTAAAAATTCGTGTTTTATGGTTGGCAAGAATACGGATATGACGTGACTGGGCGTACCGGATCCTAAGAGATCGGGACAGAGGTTAATGTAACCGGCGATTGGCCTAAATTGTTTTTCATTCAAATAGATATTTTTATTAGTTTATTTTGTTTAATTTTGATTTTTATTTTAAAAAATAAATAAATTATCTTTCCATTTATTATAAATCAAATTAAATTAAACAGCTTAAACGGACATTTTAAAATTATTTTAGATGTAATTATTAAATGATTATTTTTTAAAAAAGCTATTCAAAAATCTAATTAAATTTTTTTATTGTTTATTTGCATAAATTTCTGGAATCGAAAATCTTTGTGTTTTTCATTTTAACTAATAACGAAATAAAAATTTATTTATTTTATCGAAAAGAAGTGGGGAGGGGGGCTACTAAGAAGCACTCTAAGATAATTTATAATTTTTGTCCTAACCCTAACCCTAAATATTTTAAATATATATATTTTTTATAACTAACCGATCCATTGAGTCTTCCAGCTGGCAATGAGCGGCATAGGCAAACGTATTCCCATCCCTACATCTATCGGTTTGCCCGGAGGAAACGTATAAAACGAAATCGGTATTAGAAAGGCCTTTGCCTTGGTTAGGGCCCGAGGGGATACAATGGTTGTTCGAGAACAGTAACGTTTGTTTACAGCGCTTGTTTTTTCAAGAAATTTTAATGCAAATTTATTCATAATATTAAACGTATTTTTGCTTTTTGTATAATAGGTTATATAAAGTAATCGACAAAAAATAAAAACATGAACGGGGAAAAATTAATTCGCTCATTAAGATGATCAAAATTTTACAATTTTTTTTTAAAAATCCTATATATTTCTGGCGCTAGTAGAATAATCGAAAAACAAAAAGTGCAGTTTAAAGAAGAATTATTTTTTGTTTCAAATTTTCGAAGGCTATTTAGATAAATTTAATAATTTTTAAAAGTTTTAACTCTCACTTGCAAATGATCTTTAGGTATATAAACTTCGCCGCACCTGGAACGCTTAAGACAACCAAACAAACAACATCTTACGCCATTTTTAGTAACGATTTCTTTAGCACGACAGGTTCTTGATTGGTAAAATAAAGAAACATGCTAAAATATATCTGTACTATTCTTTTCTTTCTTTTTAGAATTATTATAAAAATAGTATTAAATTTTTTTTTTGCTTTTTACGGGGAGAGTCTAAGAACGGGTACTGAATTTCTGACCATCAGAGTCTTTTGCCAATAATCGACGGCCAGAGGAAAAACCGCCTTCAAAATATGTAGCAATAATATAATAAATATATAATTATATACTCTACAAAATTATATTGTATTATTTTATAAAATACACAAGAATTTAAGAATTTGACAAATCCTTATTATTTAAATTTATACCTGGTGTGGTAAAATTACAACTATGTTTCGGGTTGCGAGTTGTGAAGATTTGCAAAACTACTTGGAATTTACATATATTTTTTTTTATTAGTATCGTAATTGTGTGTTTTTTTTTGAAAAGAAGAAGGAAATAATAATGCGAATTATCAATTAATGTTATTAACAAAAATATATTTAATATGTAATGAAATGTGACTTGAGTTTTCAATAAAACCCTAAAATAAAATTGTTACAAGTCTTTTCTTTCCTTTCTCTCATTCTTTCTTTTCTTGTAAAACATTAAAAATTACAAAAAAAAGAGTCATTAAAAAGCCCTTTAGAGCCATAACCAGAAATTTTTACGAGAAAAAGGGAGAGAGAGCCCTGCATTCACAGTTAGCGCGAATTCGGAGCGAAGAATACAAAATATCATACAAATAGAATAATTTTACATTTATTCTTGACACGGCGCTAATTGGCAAAGCAAGGGAAGGAGGATTACATTTTTAAAAAAAATACCCTTAATTTAATTTAAAGTACTAGTTAAATATATATAAATAACTTAAAATGTTTTTTAAAACTACAAAAATATTTTCATATTATGATAAAGGTTCATTGTACATAACCTTCTTCTCAGGGTTGACTCATTAAAATGTTAAAAATATTCTTACCTGATGGGTGATAACCACTTTGTCCCCATCATATCTACATCACCCTGCTCATTTGGGCAAGCCGCTTTGAAACTTTTCAAAACGGTTTCCAAATCAATAAGGAAAAAAAAACACATATCCCTCCATTGCTATCACAATAATTCGTTCCAATTATTTAATGTTTAAAAATTCTTACCGAATTATATACTTAGCATTTCCTTTTTAATATTTTTTTTTAATTTTATATATTTGTTCTTTTATATATAAAAATATTTTTCATGTTCTTTTACAACATAGATTTGTATGTAAATTATTAATATATATGTTAGCGTCAATATGTTTTTTTCCGAAAATTTGAAATTTTTCAACTTTAAATCATTTTGTGAGCGCGTTTTTAAATATTTTAAAATCTGACCGGAAATATATACTGTCATGTTTGGAATACCTACCCTATTAATTTCAGATAATTTTTCCATGAACTTTTAAACTTAATATAATTTATATTAAATTTTCCATATAAATTATAAATGACTCAAGGGTTAGCAGCAAAATTGTCTACAATTCATAAGATATGTATTCCAAACATGATAGAATATATTTCCGGTAAAATACGATTTTTAAATTTAATAAAACGTGCTCAAAAAAATGATTTAAAGTTGTAAAAATAACACATTGCCGGAACATTGACGATAACATATATATATAAATTATTTAATAAAAAAAGATTCAACTTATTTTGATTTTTTTAAAAAAAAATTTTAGATCTCCAAAAAAAACTTTTAATTGCTTCAATAAAAAATATTTGATAAGCTTATTTTTTTTATATTAAAATGAAAAATATTTATAAAAATATGGCCAAAACATTTAAAAAAAAATTTTTTTGAATAAATTTAAAAAGTGCTTTAATTCTTTTTTAAAGCTTTTAGGCTAAGTTCAAAATCTTTTTTAAAAAAAATTGGAATTGTTTTAAGACTTTTGAAAAAACGAAACCTGTCCAAATTCTCCATCTTTTGAAATTATTGGACTTAAAAAGTAAAAATAAAAAAAAACACTTTCTTAAAAAATTCTATAGTATTTTTATTATCAAAAAATATGGTCCATAAATGACACATTGTCATTTATCAGGGGCGAAAGGAGTCCTTTAGGAATTATTATTTTTTTATTAGCTTAAATTATATTTAGCGGACAAATTTGCCTTGGGTCACCAATGTCTCTAAAATGAATCAGGGCTATGTGAAGGTATTAATAGAAGGTTTCTAAGAAAAATAATAATTGGTGAATCAAATATTTTTCTTCAAAATTTTAATTTTAACATTTACTAGGGAATAAGGCTTCGTTTATAATAAACGCGTATTGCTTAGACGATGCGACACGCATGACTGAATATCCTTTTAAAATCAAGTAAATTATAGGTGCAATGAATTACATCGTTATAGGTTAAAAAATATACCGCTTGCTATAGAAAAATACCTTACGTAATATAATACCATAATTATTTTTATTTAAGTGTTCATTCTTTATTTGGAGATTTATTGTAGTATTTATATAAAAATTGACATTTATCTTTTACATTGACTCAAAGTCATTAATTTATGAATGGTTATCAGGTAACATTAAAATGGTAACAATAATAGTTTAATTTTAATGGGACTGAAAATCGATATGTATAAAAAAAAAAAAATTTCGCAGCCTTAATCTACTAAAATAAGCGATCGGGTCAAGAAAAGAAAAACAGGCTAATTTGGTTTTCGAAAAAAATTAAAACCCCCGTCCCAAAAACGAAATTTGGGAAAATCAATAATTAAAAGTAAATTGAATTTAAGAGAGGATCTTTCTTTAGATACGCCTAAATCAAGAAAATTATCTTTTTGACCTTATATAACGAAACGACCCAATAACATAGATGACTATCCTATACATAAAATTCAATCATTAAATATACATATAATGAAGTTCGTCATTGAAAGGCATTTGGGCAATATTTCTTTTCAATAGTGTCTACTACAATCAGACTTCAAAGATAAGAGTTAAAAGGAATAATTAACTGAATGAAATTTTTTAATTGTGTGAAATTTATTTAAAATTAATCAAGTATCTGAAGCAAGCAGTAGAATTAAATGTTAATATTGGTTAGGTCTAATTAATGGTTTGGGAATTATGGGTTACGGTAAAAATGTTCTTTAATTAAATATAGCCATTTTTTTTTTACTAATAACCTATCAATATGAATAAGCGAATAAATTTTTTTGATAAATCAGCTGTTGATATGGCAATTTACTTGAGTTGAACCATAATCGACTTCAAAGATCGGCAGTCTATAGGTTAATATTAATGTCATTGCCTAAATCTAGCCAATTTCTATTTTTTATCGGTAGGCAGAATATATTATAACCATTAAACATATTGGAATCCTGTATAACCTTGCATTCATAGTGAGCACGAATTTGCGGCTAAGTATACAAAAATGGAAAAATATTATATTTATATCGTATTTTGTATACTTGGCCGCGAATTCGCGCTAACTGTGAAAGCACGGTAAGCATAGGCATGGATTTTCATTAGAGAAGCCGCCAATAGAGTTAAACCCTTCTCGGTAGGCAGAATTACAGTGTCAATTTCTATATGTATTTTCTCATCTTTTTGTTGAGGGTGATTTTTTTTCCTTCATCCATTTTATCGGATAGTTTTGGGCGTCAAACCTTTGAAGATTGTCAGATTACTTTAATTTAAACAACGAAAAGTTTTTTTTGAGAAAAAGGCAACGTTAAACGCTTATGCTTAATCTGTAATCACTATAATTATATTCATTCTCTTTTTTTAAAAAAAATATATCGTTTATAAATCACATATTAAATTATTTTTTTCGTAAGTAGTGGGTGGTGCGGGGCTTTTAGTAACTTTAAAATGATAATTACGAAAAGTAGCAAATTTCTTGGCTAATTGAATGGAGTTCCTCTAACAAATGATTTTCATTCTGGAATGAGTATGGCGTTACCGGATTTTATTATAAATGAAATCTGGAACATCGTATATTCAGCAATCACTCGGGTAATTTATCAATAGATTAAACCAAATTTAAATAACTTAATATATATTTTTTAGACGCATTCTTCTATTTTCTTTCATTCTTTCTTTAAAAATGAGGTCTGTAGTTAAAAAAAAAATCGCTCATTGCTGGTTGAAACAACTTTTTGGACTTCTTCATTCGGCCACATCTCCTATCATTTACATATTTTCTTAATTGTGATATTCAAACCAAGGTATAATGAAAGAAGAATGAGGAAATATATAATTTACATTTTTACCAGGCCTACGGTCAGGGCCCTAATTTTATTTGATGATGTTTCGGCTCACCAGACGCTGCAGGATTTTAATAAACATTAAACAACACGCATGCGTATGTTTCAATGTCAAATTCATAAAATTTGTGGTTTTATAGGAAATAAAGACATTTTTCCATAATAATATATATTATATGCATTCAATGTCAGGGTTAAAAAAACGAAATAAAAGTAATTTGTTTTTTAAAAAATTTTTTTATTATATTTTTACCTTCACAATATTTGATTTCTCCTCGGGGAGGCTTTTATTTTATTTTTTTTTTAAATAAATTTTTTTAATAAAAAATTAAGACAAAATAATATACGATTTTGTAATTCGAATACTAATTATTCTTAGTGCTAAAACTTGCAATTCTTAACGATTCTTGATATCCTCCTAATTATTTCTAGCGAATATTTTTATTTAAAGTTTAATCTTTTTTCTCTCTTTCCTTTTTTCCTTTCTTTCTATAAAAAAAGAGGTAACTATATTTTAAAATATTTGTTGACCCCCGACCATTTTATCCAGATTTACCTAGATTACTAAACCGTAAGCAAAATATTCGACACTGATTTATTTCACAAAAAAATGAAAAAAAAAGAAAGTTTGCGTAATAGAGATAAAAACGATAAAAAAAATAATTGTCAAACAAATATAACAAACTTTAAAAAAACATTAAAAAATGATACCTGACTTAAAATAAATTGCCATAGTGCAAAAATCTTCAATTTGCCCATATGGTTGGCTGAGTATTATAGTGTTCTACATCCACTTTTTTTAAAAATTTTTCTAAGAGATCATCACGTCAAAATAATGCGAATAAAGAATTATTCTAAATTATATCTTAATATATTTTTATTTATTGTTGATATTGAAAGACTATAGTAAAGAATAAGTGATTCTATCGAAACATTTTGCAAATAGGTGGATATAGAACAATATAATACTCAGCCGATGATATGTATATATATATTTTTTAAAGAAATAGAGATAAAAAAATATCTTATTTATGGTACTTGGATACGGTTGAGTCGTAATGTATTTTTATACGTATGTTGTTGGCTTTGAGACTCCTTTTATGTTGGTTAGGATTGGGGTTACTGACTTTGTACATTACCTTGAACGAATATTATTAAAATTTTATATTACTGAGAGGGTTAAGAGTTACGCAATATACGATATATATAAAAAGAAGAGTTGATAAGATCTGGTATTTCTAACCCCGGGAACTAAGCTGAAATAAGTAGGTGATGGCTTAGAAAATTTTAGGCTATGGGTAGACTCTTGAAAACTTTTTTACGATAGGCTGGTGGGTTTAAAACATCGGGCGTCCTTTAAAAAAAGGGGCGACGTAACATATTCCTCAAATTACTACTGTGAAGAGTGATACACTTCCATATTCTCTATCATTTTGATGCACTTTCCTCCTCCTTAGTTATTTGGATTATTGGGGTTCAAAATATTACATATTTTACAAGCGTAACAAGTTATTCCTGTGGTAGAGACAGCTGTCATAGTAAATTTTGATGCACCTTTCTCATTTATCTTGATTATTGTTATAACCTATACAGGGGACATTCTATTTTTCCAATCCTGTGCAGGGCTCTAAGCCCTCCTTTCTAAAAAAAGGGTTCTGGTTTGGGTTCAGCGAAACCGGTTCGGGTTCAGGGTTGGGTCTTCAGAAATTTTTTAATTTACATATGTTTTTAATCTTTAAAATAAAATAAACTATGATTATTTAAATATTAAATATTAGTGATTAATGCTGTTCAAAATTTATATAATTTAAAAAAATAAAATGAAAATAAAGAAAAAAATAAAATAAATGAAAAATTTAATAATTCTTGAACCCTGAACCTATAAAAAAGGTTCGTGGTTCAGAGTTTTGTTTCAATAAAATATCAGGGTTCGAAGGGTGTTCAGGGTTTTCAGCCATGCTCCTGCCTTCAAAACATTAAAAATATATTTAAAATAAAATAACCAAAAATAAATACAAAACAAATCAAGCCAACATAATAAATTTCATAAACATGGGTGATGGTAAAAAAATTTTTAAATTAATAGATGGGTGGGCGAGTTAATATTTTTGAAAAACTGGGCGGATAGGATCGTGGGTTAAAACCCGTCCATTGCGGACCTCAAATAAATATATTTTTTTAGATCGCTCATATTATAATATATCTTGATCTTACAAAATTTCAGGATCAGACTCCTTTCCACAAAATCAAAATCGATTAAGTAAAACCCGAGCAGACCAAGTCCTGAAAAAAAATTGACAGTAACTTCATTATATCTTAAATTGATATGCTAGTTGTTTTACATAAACAATAATTATTGCACGAGGGCTATCAAACTTTTTTAGAGGGGAAGAAAAGAAAAAAACAACTAAACTAATAAACTTTGTCAAAAAATCGATAATAAAGAGACTACCAGCATGTTAATAATATTTTATTTTTTCTAAAATTTATGATTGACAAAATGGTCCCTAAATTATGTAAAATATAACCAAATAAGGGGATAGACATTTATGAAAAAAAAATGCTTTTTCAAAAAAAAAATAAATTTGTTTTTCGTTTTTTCCTTCCAGAAATGGCGTTTTCATTTTTTTTTTGGTTAACCAAGATTAGAAATCAGATTTTTTTTAGTCTTAAGTAGAATAGTCAATGAATTAAGTAAATAATGATAAATTATATGGTAGATAAAATGTATTCTGAGTTTTAAAATCACATTTAAGAAATATCTATATACACTAACGTTATTATTATACATAAATGTATGCTCATTAGAAAAGTTTATAATTCGAGATATAGATAAATCAAATAATAATTTTTAGAATAAATTATATAAAAATCCTTAAATTTTGGAAATCTGTTAAATTATAATTCAATTATTACTTTATACTCCAATTTTTCATCTTCAATATAATATAAAATCATTTTTAAGCTTTCATATTAACATTAATTCTTAACATTATTTCAACCACAATTTTTTTTAATTAGGGCACCAAGAGGAGGAGTGGGAATTTTTCTAATTAAATAATTGATATATATTATGCTTACTCTCAAAATTAATAATTGACAGTCCCACCATAAAATCTTGTAAGTAGTGTTGTTAAAGTAAATATTTACAGGCAACTTACATTTTTTTGCAAAAAATAGCTATAATTAGTTACATATAAAAAAAATGTAGATAGATACTTTAAAAAAAAAGTATTAGATTTTAGAATGTAAGTACAGCTTAGAAAATGTTTAGTTTAGGGAAGTTTATTTTTGGAGAAAAAAATGAGCACAACTTTTTGGGTCATTCCATGTCAAATCAATCACTTTTCGGCCGACCCCTTTCGATTTCGATAAAAATTCGTAGGCTGGTTATATATGTTCCCATTAGATTATAAACAAAATTTTAGCGCATTAGAAAATATATTAGCGGAGATATTCGGGGTTAAAGGTCCAAAAAACGTCTTTTTTTGCTGTTTACTGATGTTAAATAATTAGTTTTTAATTTAAAACTAAATATGATCAAATATTGAATCTAATATCAATAGCCAAGTTAATAATTGATGATTATGGCGAAAACATCAAAATTAATTTTAGATAAAATATGGGTCATCTTATGGTCAGTTTAAAACTTGAAATTAATATTTCGAAATGTATATGATCTCCGATTTTTAATTTTTTTAAGAATTATTATCCGTTTACTATTTTTTTAGTAATTTCTTCGACAATTAGTATGGCTGGGTATTTATTTAAAAAAATATTGCGATTATTATACTTTAAAAAAAATAGATGGCGCTATATATAATAGTTTTAATATGTTAAAATTTATTTTTTTTATTGATTAAAAATATTTTAATGTATATATATCATACTAAATCGATTACAATGTGCATTATATATATTATTTGTAATTCAGATCATAAATTTTTAAAATCTTCACAAATTATTTAATATAAATCTTTGCTGATTCTTTCTCGCCTTTAACAGATACAAAATCTTTTATTCCAGGCATGAGTCGGCTTATTTCATCAGAACTATAATTTTGTTATTTTTATTGCTTAAAAAATTTTTCAAAATCTTTGAAATTTTCTTTATCTCTGGTTATTTTAATAATGTAAGATAATGACAATTTCATAACATTCTTGGTCTTGATGGGTATGACTTAGTTGGGGGGGGGATTGGGGGTAGGCCTGGTAATTAATGTCATTTTCGATTTTTCCTTTAATAATTTCCCTGCACTCCTTTAATCCTGCTTTTTTATTCGTGTGCTAGTCCGATTTTTTAATTATTTTAATTTACATTTGAAATATTAAAAAAATTATTAAAATTTTTTATTTGCGAATATCTCAGGGGAATAAGGCTTACAAAGTTATATAATCGAATTTTATGATATATTATACATTAAAATATTTTTAATCAATAAAAAATATGAATTTTAACATATTAAAACTATTATATATAGCGCCATCTATTTTTTTAAAAGTATAAAAATCGCAATATTTTTTTAAATAAATATCCAGCCATGCTAATTGTTAAAGAAATTATTAAAAAAATAGTAAACAGATAATATTTCTTATAAAAATTAAAAATCGGAGATCATATACATTTCAAAATATTAATTTCAAGTTTTCAACTGACCATAAGATGACCCATATTTTAAAAAAAATTATTTTTGATGTTTTCGCCATAATTATCAATTATTAACTTAGCTATTGATACTAGATTCAATATTTGATCATATTTAGTTTTAAATTAAAAACTAATTATTTAACATCAGTAAAAAGGAAAAAAAGGCGTTTTTTAGACCTTTAACCCCGATTATCTCCGCTAATATAGTTGCTAATGCGCTAAAATTTTGTTAATAATCTAATGGAAACATATATAACCAGTCTACAACTTTTTATCAAAATTGAAAGGGGTCGGCCAAAAATCTTGATTTTTTTGCTCATTTGACATGGAATGACCCTTTTATAGTATTAAAAAACTTGGTTTAACAAATTTCTAAAAAGCGGGTAAATAAAGAATTTTGCCAAGCTAATATTGGAGAGTGCAAAATTTTTCTAACATTTTTTTGGCTAAATTTTGAGATTTAGATTACATTTTTATTGCTAAAATCTTAATTTAGTCATTATTAAAAATACATGGTTAAATTTAACACTATTCTAATTTTTAGACACAAATTTAAAATAGTTTATCATTAATAAAATCGAATAATAATTTATTAAGCCTAAATGTTCATGAAAAATAAATATTATATTGTGTTATTTATATATATTTTTTGATATATATAAGTATTATATTATGACATTCTTTTCAGTGGGGCTGCATATTTTATTTGAAATGTATATAAATTCCTTAAAGTAAAATTTCACAAATTTATTTTGTGCAATAAAATGTTTATATAGAAAAAATCTACAAAGTAACTAATGTAACTATTACTTTTGAAATTCCACTATAGCTGATTAATTTTTATATTTATTAATTACAATTAATTTTAATATAAAATTTTTTAAAAAATTTCCTTGGAGGGTGTGCTTTTCAAATCCCCCACCCCTTCCCCTATAGTATAGTCTAGTCTTGTTAAATAGCTTAAGTTGAAATGATTTTTTAAAACAGCTAAATCAATATTTCAGCCAGATTAATTAAAGCAAACCTGAAGATTTTGCACATAGATCTCACAAAGTTTTGAACATATCTTAGGAAAATCTCGAGACTTAGATAAAATTTTGATGGCTAAAATATTGAGTCAGTCATTTTTAAAATTCAACTCAAATTGAGAATTTTAAAAGCACTACTAGAGCCATTTTTAAAAAAATAATAGGTTAGTTATTTAAAAAAAATATATAATGATCTCAGTCATATTTATGTATTATCTAAAAATGCATAATCAAAAATAATTAATATAGAAACAATAAATCTAGCAAAATCATTTTCAATACTTCATCTTTGTTTGGAGGTTTGTAAGAACATTGTATATTTTGAGCATTATTGAGGGCCACTATTTGAAGAATCATGATAATAAATAAAATTGACATTAATGTGAAACGTAATGATAGCACATTTCCCTATTTATAAAACTACATTTGAACGTTCAAAAATTTAAATATTATCATATGGAAAAATGAATGTATAGAAATTATGTGTTTTACATATTGGTAAGTGCTAAACGTTAGTAAAAATAATTATGATAGTACAAAATGATAAACTTCCCTCTTTTTTACAAAAGCTTGATTATTTTAAAAAATTGTATAAAGAGAGATAGAAATGGCATAGCTAGAAGGGATTTAAGGAGCATATCTACACCTTACATATATAATATGATAGGTAAAAATGTTGTATTTAAAGCCAGATTTTTGAAAACGGCTCGATTAAGATACTCAAAATAATGTTATTAAAGCTTTAAGATTTGGAAAATAGAAATCTAAACCTTTGTGGTACCTCTGTGCAAAATCTCCTTAATTACCTTATAATTATTATTTTGGCTAAAATAATCGGCTTTTTTTTAAATCAACCGTCCCATATTTTACAATAAAATAGAAAGTTGATTTTAGATGCAATATGTTTTTTTATATGTTTAGTTTTTAATTATAATTGGTTAGTACTTCTCTAAATATTTTCCAATTTTAAAAATTTTACCATTTTGCTAATAATAACTTTGTTATTTTGCTAAACGTTGAAACATCCTAGTGTCACAACGACATGGTAGTCATTGTGCATCAAAACCTAAATATAAAAATAGAAAACAAATATATATATATAAAAGGAAATTAATAATAATTAGGAATTACGAAATCATAAAATCAACTTTAATTCTTTATTCAAAATTATAATAGTAAACATCATAAAAAAATAAAATAAAATAAAATTAAAAAATTAAAAGTAAATTTTAGTTAAAATAATAATCCCCATTTTCGCCTCATAATTTCTCCATTATATATCCTTTTTATTTAATCAATATTTACATAGTCTCCCTAGCGAATAATAACCAGTTCTACATCCCACTTGTTAAAACTGTTAAAGTATGAAAAAATCTACAAATCTCACGCGTTTTTTTCTCATTTACATAGACGGGGATATTTTAATAAAACATTATTTTTGTTTACAATTTGCATAATGCATTTTTTTTGTAAAGTAAAACTGCAACACCTAGTAGTTATACATTGCGTATTGTCCTGGGCCTTTGAATTAGGGTTTTCTAAATTCTACCAAATTTTATACTTGGGTCTGTGATAATATGAAATTCATATCAAATGTAAATAGAATTCGATTTAAAGTTAATAGGATTTTTCCTATTTTATTTCTATATTTCTATTTAAACCAAAAGAATAAATAATATCTATAAAGATCGTTAAAACATAATAATCCAAATTATTTTGACTCTGTGGAAATTAAAATATTTGATAAAATTGATTCATTTCGGTAAAATAAAATAACAAAAAAGATAAACATTTGTTATTCCTTCCTCGATCGTATCAAAGTTTGGTTCGTTTTATATTATATCATGGTGGCTTAGAGTTACTTATATTCAATAAATCATAATACCATTTTATCAATACATTTCAAATATATGTACTAAATTTTATTGTCTTATTCAACTTTTTATCAGTATAATAGTTTTTATCTAAATCATCTATAAATTTTTTAAGTTACGAGATAGAAAATTGAAGAAAGAAGGACGTCCTTGGAAAAAAGTAAAAATATTATTTTATCTCCTTTTATTTCTCTTTTTCATAAGGTATATAAAACATTTTTACAAATTAAAATTAGAATATAATATTAAAAAGGTTAAGTTATAAAATAAAAGTATTACTAAAATAAAAATATAATTTGAATAAACAGAATTAAATAAATGTGCGATTTGAATAAACAGAATTAAATGAATGTGCGTAACATAAATTAAAACATATTACTATTCGATAACCAAAATATATAATATTTTAATTTATTAATTCCTATAATATAACATTCTCCCTCTTCTAAAAAAGCCTTCCCATAAGTTTATCTAATCAGACATAGAAAGTTTGTTGTCCAAATGGTTTATCGTCTTGGTTGTCAATGTTGCATAAGTCACATCTTAATCGTTGGCTTGTCCAAATCTTTGGTTTGTCTAAATCGTAAGCTTGATATCCTTATTGTAAGTTGTCTCCATAAATCATGATTTTGTCATATAGCTGGCTTGGTAGTACTCAGTTGTTATTATTATCATTTTTCAAAATTGTTATTATCATCAGTAAGTTGCGAATAATGAGAAATAATAATTCATCAAGTTGGATATAAAAATAAGTGAAGAATGATAAATCAATAAGATTGTTATATAATATTTTTAGCTTTTTAATTTTTCACGTTTTAGTGTCAAATTTATTTTTTCGCGTTTTAGTGTTTAATTAATTTTTTGCGTTTTAGTATTTAAATTTATTTATATTTATAATATTTTCAATCCTGAGGTTAAAATATGCAAATAAAATATTATTCACATTTATACTCTTTAAAAAAAAATTTTAAATTTCACACCCTAGTTTTAATTCAATAAGTGTTTTTTTTTAAATAATAATTCTTCATAAGATAATTATTAGAAAATGATCTTCTCATCACATCTTTAAATATTTTTCTAAAATGATGATGTTTAGTTTTTACATAACTTCTTTTATTTGTCTTCTAGGCTTTAAATTTCAAAATCTTTTTATCACATTAAGTATTACTTATAAGAGTTATATTAATTTTATAATTTTTTAAATCAATCATGATTTTTATCTTTTAAAACCTTTAATTCATATGTTTCAATTACATTTTTAAGACTTAAAATTAAAGTTTTATCTTCTTGTTTAGGATTTTTAATGGTTTAACTTTGTAATATAATTATATCTAAGAATTCATCTTTAAGTAATTCAGTTAATTTCCACAATTGGTCATCAAAATATGAAAAATATCAATAGGCATTTCACTAAGAAGTTTAACTGATAATTCCTTATTAAGTAATTATTTTTTAATTGTATCTAAGAATTCATCTTTAGGTAATTCAGTTAATTTACACAATTGGTCATAATTCAAGAAATCAAAAATATCAATAAGCATTTCACTAAGAATTTCATTAAGTAAATAATTTTTTAAGGCTTTTTATCATCTTTAGGTAATTCAATTAATTTACACAATTGGTCATAATTCAAGAAATCAAAAATATCAATAGCCATTTCACTAAGAAATTCATTAAGCAAATATTTTTTTAGATTGATTGACATTTAAATTATTTTTTTAAGTTAATTTCTTGGCATAGAATTTTAATTTATAATAACTTTTCTTCTTACGTGGATTTAGAATTATATGTAAATCATCAATGGTTTCACTATATAGAATTCATAACCTAACGTCCAACTTCCATATTGGTTCTTTCTAGGTTGTTATATTAGATTAGGTGTTGGTCATCATATTGCAGATCACCACCCAGAGCCAGGACACCATGAAGAAGGAAGCTTTTGGCGTGAAAGAACGTGCAAGGAAATTTTCTTGGTTCTTGGTCATCTCATTAGGTTAGGTAGTAATCTTATTCAAGTCCACCACCTACCGGGGCACCATGAAGAAAGAAGAAGAACGTCGTTGGAGAAAAAGTAAATATATTATATTATCTCCTTTTATTTCTCTTTTTCATAAGTTATATATAACATTTTTACAAATTAAAATTAGAATATAATATTAAAAATGTTAAGTTATAAAATAAAAGTATAACTAAAATAAAAATATAATTTGAATAAACAGAATTAAATGAATGTGCGTTACATAAATTAAAACATATTACTATTCAATAACCAAAATATATAATATTTTAATTAATTAATTCCTATAATATAACAAAAATAAAAACTAAATTGTTTAAGTTACGTGATAAAGTGTCGAATAAAATAATATTGAATAAATAGATTTCATTTAAATTCAACGCGTCATATAAAATGATATATATTTAATAACATTTTAATATAAAATAGACTTTACTGCATTTAAATTAATTTTTGAAAAATAAAAATTCGATATTATATAACGACTACTGATATTAGATTCGAAACACAAATTAGCTAATCAAGTATTACATATTGGCATTCTCCGATATTTAAAGCCTCTCATTTTTTTTCTTATTTTGCCAACAAAGTGGTTTTCTCTAGACTATCTACTAAACGGGGTTAATCAATAAAATTTACTAAATACATCGATTATTAATTTAAATTTTAAAGTTAATGCTTCCATAAATTTTGCTCAAGTACCAAATAATGATCAAGTTTCAAAATATGATTTTATTTTCGGTTTTGGCAAAGTACCAAAACCTTTTTATTTTGCTTATAACCACTAACGGTTAATTCAGTCGATATTCGGTTTGATGATCAATTAATGGGCTACATGGTGGTATAGGTTTTGTTAATTGATTCTCATCTCGTTTCACCAGCTTTAAAATTCACACTTTCCTAATTTTGCTGATAACTCATTTTCGGTTAATTTTTTTTTACTTTTATTTAAATATGAAGGACAATTAAGACACAAAGTATTTGACCAAATTGTGAAATAATTATATTCATTTTTTAAGTAAAAATTTCTTATTTGCTTATAACAGTCAATACTGGTATGGTTTGAAGATCAGTTAATGTATAAACAATGGTGTTAATTTCAGAATTTGATCCTCACATTTATATCACAAGGATGTGACTAATCCTCAGGCTGCGTTGAGGGAGAAGGCAAGATTTGGGAAAAGAATATTACTTAACACATATTACTAGTATAAAGAGTTTGTAAATAATCTTTGCATAATGTTGATAAACTTTCTTCATTGATTGTGCCGATTATATCAATAAATAAGACAATCATTATTTTTACCTTATTTACTTTTCTTAGTGACTACTCTACACTTATTTTTGTTTTATTTTCTAGGACACAAATAAAATTAATGATATGGCAATCTTTCCCCTTTTATAAGGTAAATACAAATAAATAATAATCAAGATGATAATATTGATATATAATGCTTTAAATAATATAACAAGACTCACCATGAGTCTTATATTCATTATAACTAAATTCTCATGCCATTATTACAAAACAAAATTATTGTGGATAAACAAAAATATAATAAAGATTAAAAAAATAACCACTTATGACAATATATTTATTTTTAAATTGGCCCTCCAAGTGAAAATTCTTAGCCTTTAGATCAAACAACGATTATCTTTGTTTAAATTATGATGTCAAACTTAATTTTAAAAAACTATTCAAGAAAAATCATCTTTATTTCTTTTTAAATTTTCCAAGTTAACAATACCAATAAATTGGTCACATTAGGCACTTGAAATATAACTATTTAAATATCATTAATATATATAAAATGAGACATCAGCTGTTTTCGTCAAAATCTGGTAATTTAAATTCAGCTGGAAGTTTAGAATTCAGATCAGCCATAATTTGAGTAATATGAGTTATATCGGAACGAATTTTGACAAAGGTCGAAAGATCGAAAATGGAGGAATCATTAAAAAAGGTTTCGCAGAGTCCATCTAAAGTCTTATTTTTAGTGGTAAGTGCGGTAGTTAAAACAGATAATGAGTCGTTTAAGTTAATTATCTTAGGATTTAATTGGGCTTGAGCTTGCATTACAGGAGACACGATTTGGTTAAGGTGAGATTGTATACTATCACATAAGTCATCAACCTTTGAAGTTATATGAAAGTATAATAAATGTATTAATTAGACTGATATAAAAAATGATTATATTTTAGTATAAATTAAATAAACCAGAGTAATTTTTTATCAATTATTACTTTTGACTAGTATTTGTTGTAGGCCTATTTAAAAATGAATAGAATATTCGATTCATAATAATTTGAATTGAATAGAAACGAAATATAGTAAAATAATCAAATAATTCGATAATTTGTTTTTTAAATAATAAATTTTATTATTTTTAATTACTTAATTTTTATGAAACGTTTAATAATATTATCCACCTTTTTTTAAAAAATTTTTAAATAAATTTTAGGTAAAAATTAATATTTGGGACTATAATAAAGATATAAATTAAAAATATAATTCTTTTTTTTTAAAAAAAATATATATTTTGTGATAAATAATTACCTAAAAATCTCACATAATTATGGATAATAACTCTGTAACTTGTTTTTAATGAGTAATTCAGCCAAAAATTATGAAATGAAGAATCGTAGATTCAATATAACTATCCACAAATCGCCATAGTTACTTTAATCTATATAAAATTTTAATTTTCAATAATGTTGTTATAATTTGAAATTTTGTTTACATGGATTATACAAATATTTGTAATTTTACATTCATGTAAAATTATATTTTCAAGACTCATTATGAGTCACACTTTCTTTTGCATAAAGATTATTTTATTGATGTTATTTTTATTTCATATATTAAGTTTAATTATGTGTGATTGTATTGACATTGTCAAGTTATAAATTTACATAATTATTCTTCTTTCCTAAATAAAAAATCTTAAAGATATCTTTAGTGATTCTTAGATTTCATATGGGAAAAATGATTAAACTCAATATATTTTAGGTGGTACATTACTAATTTCTTTCTCCTTCATGTCATGGAGAGAGTACATTAAGAGACCAAGATCTAGGTTCCAATAAATATATAAGACCAATTAGATGTTTGAGCATAATTTATATTCTCAATGAATTTTAAAATTGGCAAAGGATTTCATATACTCATTTATTTTTCCTATTAATTTGAATTATGGTAAAGGTAAAACTGTTTTTCCAATTGAAATGATGCATTTAAATTGGCAACTTTAAATTCTAACTGAAACCTTCACTTCATAATTACTCAAGTCATGTTAAATTTTAGAATTGTATAGATCTCTTAATTAATTTTGTCCTGCAAATTATGTATAAAGAAAGTACTTGCAAATCAGGCTATACCAGAATGATTTATACGGGAAAAATGTTTACAGAGAGCTGGCTCATAATGTCATAAATATTTTTAACAAAGGGCTCCCATATATTGCAAAATCATCTTACTAAATTGTTTGCTCGGATAGGTCATAACTTTTTAATAACAAACTCAAAAATTGAAATTTTTTTAATAAATGGATTTACTCCAACACATCTCTATCCAAATCCCAAGAAAGTTAAGAGAATCATGATTGATTTGACATGCAATTATTTTTAACCTAAATATAAATTAATTATAAGGGTAACTTGTTGAAGCTTTATAAATACAATGCCATTTTGAATGAAATTTTTTATAAATGCTCATATGCTCTTAACCCCTAAGAACATTTGCTATAAAAAAGCATAGCATTCATGGGGCAAATATGAGCCAAATTTTAAACTACTATACGGGTAATTCCATGACAAATCGACTAGCGATTCAGCCGACCTCAAAATTAAATGGAACTTGGCATATTAGTTATTTATGTTGTAAATGTTAATAAAATCAATTTAGAGTCTAGCTCAACCAGATCCAAAGATATACGCCTTCAAAGTCGAAAATAGCGAAGTGCGTGATTTCATTAAATCTTGTTATTTTAAAAAATATTTAAGATAGAGTTACAAATTATATATCATTTTATAGCCCTTGAAATTTTACGTTGGAAAATATAAAAAAAAATTAAAAAATTTCTAATTTCAGGTAAAAATAAAAAATTAACATTGTTAGGAAGGGATTTTTATTGGGTGTTAACATTCACTAAAAATGTTTATTACCTTTATATTAAACGATTTAATAAAAAATCGCGATAGCCATTTTGTTTTTTTTAATTTTATTTTTTATTATTTTTATAAATAAAAACATGCAATATAAATGGCGTTATATTAAAATTATTTTATAATATATAATTTTTAATAAAAATATGAATAGTATTGTGATTAAAATAAAAAAATCAATTGAGTATAACCAAGAATAATGTCCTGGGGCGATATGTAAGCAGACAGCCCTTACATATGATTTTATTAGGACGCTATATTGTAAAATAAACATATTTTAAAATTATATACACAAACAATATAAAAATAAATACCTCTTGTTATATCTTATCCCATTTTGTGCTTATTAATAGAATTTCTTCAGACGATAATTTGTAGGCACGTCCTGTCACTGTAATAGAAGCTACTACTGTTATTATTTGATTAATGGGTAACCATATCTTTTCCGCATTTGTGGGGTAAAAGAAGGATGGTGATGGTCCAAGGGGTAAAAAGGAAATATATATCTCCTCCGTAATTTCCCTCTTTTTTAGTACTGTGGCTAACCGCCAAAAATCGTCATAAACACATGTTACGAATCCTTTAATATCGGCAAAAGACAAATTATCGGCATTTGAGATATTGTTAATTTGAAAGTCCTCTGCATATAAATAAATTTTTGATTTAAGTTTACTTAAACTCAAAGAAAATACAGCATGTATTTCCCGAGTTCCTGGAATGGGACGAGCTAAATTGAATCTTTCTCGTAGTTTTTGTAAATTGTATTGTTCGTTGGTTATATATGTAAAATTTACTGATGACATGTTTTGTTTTGCAAATTGATATAAATCAACTGGCGTTTTAATGTGTCCAGAACTGATGTGCTGAAGGCTTGAACGTGCTGCTAATCTTTTTAATGTTCCGCCAAGGCCGTCACATGGACTTTTTATATGGGGTGACACAGATTTATAAAAAAATTTCTGTTTTTATATTGTGCAGCTGATCCGTCAGAGCAGTAATATATTTTGTTTGACTTTTTGCTGAATTGATTGGTCAAAAATTTTATCATTTTAGTCTGGTATAAATGTTTGCAATAACATTATGTTAAAGTGACTCTGATATTACCATATAATTAAGGTTTTCTTTATTCCCCTTATTATTATATGCTATCAAAGGATGGATAGTGGCTTGATTATTCAGTAGAATCCTTGAACAGTGTCTTGGATTATAAATGCATAATTTTCAAAGAAATCACACATTATCATAAATTCATTTGGTTGTAAAAAATGTTTAAAATTTGAAATATATGATGATTGATTGGTAGAGATGATAGGAATAAAAAAATAAAATAAACTGATAAAATCGTTATTTTCAAATAATAACGATAGTATATCCACAACAATGAAAGGATATATCTACAAATTATGGTCGTAGGAATTTCTATTAGTAAGCGTAAAATTTTAATAGTTTGAATATAAAATTTTAAAATATGTTTATTTTACAATATAGCGTCAATAAAATAATATCTGTATGGGCTGCCTGCTTACATATCGCCCCAGGACATCATTCTTGGTTATACTCAATTGATTTTTTAATTTTAATCACAATAATATTTATATTTTTTATTAAAAATTATATATTATAAAATAATAATATAACGTCATCTATATTACATTTTTTTATTTGTAAAAATTAAAATAAAATTAAAAAAACAAAAATGGCTATTGAGATTTTTTATTAAATCGTTTAATATAAAGGTAATAAACATTTTTAGTGAATATTAACACCCCCAAAAAATCCCTTCCTAATAATGTTAATTTTTTATTTTTACTGGAAATAAGATAAAATTTTTTATTTTATATTTTCCAACGTAAAATAAGGGCTATAAAATGATATATAATTTGTCACTCTATCTTAAATATTTTTTAAAATAACAAGATTTAATGAGATCACACACTTCACGATCAGGGTTGCCATGTCAAAATTTTCAAATTGTGGGAGAAATTAGGTATTTTGTGGGAGTAATATAAAAATTGTGGGAGAAATATGAAAATTGCTAACGCTTATTATTTTTTATAAATATAAAATTGAATCTATTTTCCAAAATAAAATTGAATCTATTTTCCAAAATAAAATTGAATCTATTTTCCAAAATAAAATAGGTAATTATTTTTCAAAATAAAATAGCCAACTATTTTTCAAAATAAAATAGCCAACTATTTTTCAAAATAAAATATCCAACTCTTTTTCAAAATAAAATAGGTAACTATTTTCCAAAATAAAATACGCAACTATTTTTCAAAATAAGTAATTATAGTATGACACAAAATTTCTTAAATACTATCTTTATTATTAAAATAACATATTGATTTATTATAATATATTAATTTTGTTTAAAAATAATAACCAACGATCTTTTTTAAATAAAAAAGAATGTAAACAAAATAAAATTTTATAAAAAAATTGTAATTTTACAATGTAAAAAAATATATTTTAAATAAGATTTTATAAAAAAACAAACAATTTTAAATTTAAAATGTAAAAAATAATTATAATCAGTGCGGGGAAGTTGTTCTACAGTATTTAGTTAATACAATGGGGGAAGGGAATATGATATTTTGAGGCATCAAAAATCTTCAAAGCATAAATCAGTACAGGGCAGTCTATCAACATCTATTGCAAAACAAAAATACTCTTCAAAAATAAGAAATAACACAGATGCAACTACAGTTGCGGAAATGGTAAATATGTATCATGCAGTACAACATTCAGAGAGCTACTTAACGAGGCATCAAAAATCTTCAAAGCATAAATCAGTACAGGGCAGTCTATCAATATCTATTGCAAAACAAAAATATTCTTCAAAAATAAGAAATAATACAGATGCAACTACAGTTGCGGAAATGGTAAATACCTATCATGCAGTACAACATTCAGAGAGCTACTTAACATCACAATGTTGGTAGAATCTTTCCCCATAATATTTAACGACTAATATAAATGAAAAGTATACTTTGTAGAACACAAATGAGCAAGCTATCATCAATGTTTTAGGATATAAATCCAAAAGGTCAATTCGAATTTGTGCTGACCCAAGGATCCTTCGCTCTAATAACGTATAAAAGGATATTCCCACTAATAAGGATCCTTGGGTCAGCACAAATTGGAAAAGGAAATCTAAAGACCAAAATAGGTTTATCAAAATCTTAACTTTTGAGCATAATATCTGCCACAATAGACCCTTAAAGGAGGGGGATGCCAGCGTTGCCCTTCCCGCCCCATTCTTCTCTTCTTCTCACCCCCCACCCACCCCTATTTATGTTCACTTCGTTCATTTCATTCGTTTCACTTTATCTATCTTTAATTTTTGGAAGGTAATTAATAATTCCTCTATCTGCTGAAACTTAATCTTGACGATTTGAAATGTGCAAACATATGCAATTCTAACATAGGCATCTAATAAGGAGATATCAAAACATTTCCCTTGATCCTCCCCTATTTCAACAAAATTAATGTCATTTCAATAAAACTATTAAAAAATTTTTCCCCAGATATGAAATATCTAAAGACATAGCTAACCATATATAATGGTAAATATGGCAGATTTGGCATTACCAATGAATTGCATGGCAGCTTTCTGATCTGATAATTCCTCAGTGAATTTGGCAAAAACCAGAGTGTATTTACAGAATTGAGTCAGCATAATGTTGGTTGACAGGTTCCTCCTAATACGCGCCATGGTAGAATTTTAAAATTTTACAAACCTTTAAAAAATAAATAGATTATAAAAGCTGTCCTAATATTTTGAAAAAAATTTTCAAAAATAAATGGCAGAAGTATATTTAGGAATTTTACATATAAGATATCTACTATATGCTGTTAATATGCAGTTGCAATCAGAAGAATATAATTTAATAAAGGTTCACTGAATTATGCTGCAGAAATACCAAAAGAATATTATTACAATTATCGGATAATTATTAATAAGATTTAATATGCTGTCATGTTTGAGGAGATTGTAATGCTTCTTTATTTTTATGATTTGCCAAAATATTCAAAATATTAATTTTACAATGTAAAAAATAATTTTATTTGATTTTATGCAAATGTATAAATAAGATTTTATAAAATATAGAAAGTCAAATAGTTATAGTTAATTATATTTTATTTGAGATTTAAATAATGGAACTAAACGTTTACCATCGTTATTAAGATATTTGTAAAATTCCTGGCATGACATTTTATAATTTTGTTTAACCATTAACTAGGCCTCTAATGTTGTTAAAGCTCTCTCCTTTCTCCATGCAGTCCTCATCAGGCTAAAAATGTGCTCCGATGAGGCATTAGAATGAGGTAAGGAGAAAACATACTCGCAAATTTTTTTGGTTTCTGTTCCAAGGTCATAATATTTATACACTTGTAAATAGAGTTATTAAAATCAAATCTTGATTGTAAATATTCCAAAATTGTCTTAATAAAAATATTTGCTTCATTTAAAAATACGTTAATTATAGTAATATTTGAACATTTTAATATGATATTTTTAGCAATAGCGCCATAAAATTTATTATCTATTTTTAACTGTAGAGATGAACAGAGCTGTAGCATGATTTTGTGAATCTTTATCAATAAAGAATCTTCTGATTGCAACTGAATATTAACTACATGAAGTAGATTTCCTACATGTGAAACTAATCCCAAATATGCTTCTGACATTTAATCCTCAAAAAAAATTTTCAACATTTTAGGACAGCTTTTAAAATCTTTATTTAAGAAGTATTTCTTTAAGGGTTTGTAAAATTTTAAAATTCTCTCAATGGCAGGTATTAATGATAACCACCTGATAGGTACATATCGCAACAACTCACACCATTCCAAATCAGACCACTCTACCAATTCGTTTAATTCAGTGACTCTTTTAGTTGATGAACTAAATTCGTTAAAACATTTCATCACAATTACTTCGACATCTACAGAGAGTACATTCATTGCCTTCTTGCAAGAATTATGCAGTATATGGCATATACAGCCAATTGGTATTAATTCATTATTGGCCTCAATTCGGTAAATACACTTTGATTTTTGCCAAAATTAACAGAGCTATTGTTGAATAATATATCAATTATATTTATAATATTTTGCTTGACATATACTTTATGGAATAGTATAAAAGTAAGTAGTGAAAAATATTATTTAATCAATATTATTCATCCACTAACTTTATTTAAAAGAATTAGAGATTAAAATAATATCCACTTCTAAAAGTTCTATTCTTCTAACACAAAAATTTTGAAAATGTCGAGTGGAGCACTGCAATTCTAGATAACGATATAAAATATATTAAGTAATTTAAAATATATTTATAATAATTATACATACTGTTCTAACTTCTATTCTTTCTAACACAAAAATTTTGAAAATGTCGAGTGGCGAATTGGAGAATTTTATAAAAAATATATTTTAGAGCGGAAAAATAAAATAAAAGAACTAGACATATTTTTCGAATAAATATTTAAAATTTATTTTAAAAATATAATAATAATCAAATACTGTCTCTCAAAATTATTATTTATATATTAAAAACATTAAAATGCTAAAAAAAAATTGTGGGAGCTTTTTGTGGGAGATTTCTAATTGTAGGAGTTTTGTGGGAGTGAGATGTATGTGGGTAAACTAAAAAATTGTGGGAGACTCCCACTGATGGGGGGAGACATGGCAACCCTGTTCACGATTTTCGACTTTGAAGGTATATTACTTTGGATCTGGTGGAGCTAGCACTCCAAAATTTTGATTTTATTAACATTTACAACATAAATAACTAAGTTTCATTCATTTTTGAGATGGTTGGCCTAAAATCTCGTTTTTTTGGTTGATTTGATGTGGAATCACCCATATATCACTTCATTATTTTATTTTGTAGAATTTGATATAATAATAATTTGATAAGAATTAGTCAAAAAAAATATTCTTAATATTATTTTATTTAGCATAATAAATAATAATTTCTACCAAAATTTTTATTTATATTCAAATAATAGAATTTAAAAATAATTCAATTTAAATATTTTTAAATAATTAAATTACCCTGTTTGTAAGATTTTTGGTGGTTAATGCAATTTTTTCATTGCTGACTTTTTTATCATTAGAATAGTTCAAGAATGATTTCAAAATAGGATAGTTTAATGAAATTTGAGATAATCTTTGAATGTATTCATCATTATCAATAGATTTTTCTTTCACTCCAAGTGAAACAATTGTTATTTTTTCTGGAAGTGAAAGCATTTGAGATTCATTTTTGATATCTTTTATATGAGGAAAATTTATGGATTTACTATATGTTATGAGCTTTGAATTAGGAACCACAGGCCCACATAGCATTTTTGAGTCTATAAAGTATATATTTATATGTCTATTAAATAGATGTTACCATTCCCAATCGGCTTTCCAGCAAAATATGAATAATATGGCATTTCACCACTAAGCGGACTTATATTACCACTTGATATGGAATCCTGTCTGCTTTCTTGATTTATTTTTTTACCAAATCTAGTCATATCTGGCAATGTACTATGGTCTATACCCATTAAATAGAACAATTAAATAAAATATGAATATTAGAAAATTGAATTGAAGGCTAAACTAGATAAATTAATTTATTCGAAAATAAAATGACGGGAAATCACCTGCCGTACAAAATTCATAATGGACATATATCAAAATTAAATTAGCTGATAAAAATTCTTTCTTCTAGTCTTCTTTTTCTATGTAATTTTATTTAAAACTATTATTTTCATCTGTCGTAATTGAATAAAAATATTGTATTATATTTTTAGATTTTGAAAAGTTTGTTTTTAGTTAAGTAATGATGATTTTTATCTAATTTTATTTTAAAAGCGTTGATTATATATTTTTAGATTTAAGTAAAATTGTTTTTAGTAAGTCATGATGATTTTTTTTAAATTTTATTTTAATCGCGTTAACATCTTATTCTTAGATTTATAAAAGTTGATTATCGTAAAGTCATTATGATGAGATAATTTATAATTTCTAAAAATGTATTTTTATCTTGTAATTTAAATTTGAGGCATGAGTAGGTGATTTATAATTGTAAAAGAAGATATTTTTAGATAAGGGAAGCGTAATTGTAATTTTTTAGACAGTTGATTTTTTCCCTTATAAAATTGTAATATTTTTTAATTAATATTTTGATTCGTGGAAATATTATTAATAAAATTGTTGTTAAAAAATTCGTGGAAATATCATTAATAAAGTTGTTGAGTATATATCATAGTATATAAATTGTATCTCAGAGTAAACGGACAACGTGATATCATCGACTATGTATTATTATTGCTGGCAAACTTGGCCGGCAGATTTAGTATATCAATTATAAGTATAATATCTTTTATTTTACACTGAATCTCAATCTTATTATAATTTTACAAAATAATTTAGTTGCATAATGATATATCAATTCATATTGATATTATTTCATTGATGTGAAACCCATAAAATGGGGTTACCGCTAACTCCTACTATGTATGTACACTTTTAACGCATGAATCGTCAAACTAGTAGTATATTCACATCATTGCGAAATATATTTAAAAAATTACTATCATCATTTTGAAAAATTTACTTTTGTTGTATTTTAATATATTCAAAGACAGATGCGTGGCATTCCATTTCATATAGGTTGGTAAAATTCTATTTCAAATGCTTATATTCTTTTTTAAATTTTAGAAAAAATTTTAAATTAATTTTTATATTTCTTCCTTCTGTAATAATATTTTTTCCTACGAAAGTTTGAAGCATATTTTCCTACATTTTTTTTAAAATCTTAGGCCTTATTTATAGTAACTGCGATGTTTTTAAGCGGTGTGGTATTTAACGCTATCAAAATCTCAGCTGATTTTTCACACCGATAACAATATTTGAAATATACGTCGCAACATATATTCTTTTAAATTTTATCATAGCATTTTTATGGCTAAGCTTTATATTTATAAATTATACCCATTATTTACCTCATTGCTTGAACAAATCGCGTTTACTATAAATAAGGCGTTAAAACTTATATTTTATCAACCAAAAACCTAAAAGTAATATAATTAAGTATTAAATAATATAGAACCCAAACACGATATCAAAAGTCATAATAACTGCTTATTCATCTTCACAATCTGTTGCATAATGATTGCAAATAAAGTTATTGTGTAAAATTATTTATAAGATTTCTTATGCCGCAAGAAAAAAACTGTAAAACATGCCTGACATTAGCAAAATTTTTGGATTTAGAGGAGCCTATTTTGATCTTGGATTAATATTAGAATGGCCTTAACTAGATATTTCTACTGAAGCTGATACATTATTATATTCAATATGACAGCGATGTTATCTTCGCATTGGAATATATATTAATAAATTATATGATTACACACCATTTTATGCAATATTTCAAAAAATGATATAGATTAGACTAGGTTAATGGAATATTATTATATTACATCTTCAAAAAGAGAGATAATATCAACCTAGAATTTTTCAAGATTTATGTGATTATTGAGACGAAATGAGATTGGCAAGCTTTGACTTACACCTAGGCAAACAAATTGTTTCAATATTAACATGTATTATTTAGCAATCCGTCTTAAGATATATTAATACTTGATATTGAAATGAAATATTTAATTCAATTTTAGAATTTAAATCTTGGTATGAAATATTTATTAATGTTTAATCCTCCAAGAAACGCGAACAAGAATGTCATATTTTTGCATACTTTAAACTATACTTTTATTTTTTTCCAAATATATTAAAATCTTTGTATATTTTGGCAACTAAACAGAGGCCTCTCTTTATAATTTCAGAAGGTTCAAAAAAGAGTTTTTATTTATTTTCAAAATTACCATTTTTTAGCGAACATTATCCTAAATTTCCTTTTTTTAGTGGTATAAAAAAAAACTCAAAATTTTAAAGGGGCTTTTAAAATGAAAAGGCATTTTATTTATTATGGAAAATAAAAACCTATCTCAGAAGTACCATCTGAAAATCAATTGAATGGACAAGCTTTACTTAATATACATATACAAAAATTTAATTCTGATTTACAAATCAAATTATTGGAATCTCAAAGAAGATTAAATTTCCATTTGTGAATGATATTTTGATTAACTTTTTTTAAAATCATCATCATATGTGTAATTTTATATTTTATTGATATTTACAAACGGGATTAAAGAGCTAAAAGATTTTTTAACAATATTTTATTCGCTCTTAAATATTTTGTATTTTTCAATATTTTATTATTTGAGTTCGAAGTTGTCATTTTTTAAAATATTGGTTCCAACATATTTTGCATGCTGTTAAATTTTTATTGTTCCAAAAAAATCCCTTTAATATTAAAAAAAATGTAGATAATTTCTGACTACGCACCTACTCCATGTGTTCTCATAATTTAGTAGCGGTAACTTAAAAAAGTAGTCAAATTGACTTATACATCTTTGGAAAATGTGATATCAAAATAAGATAGACTGGATTGGTTACTATGAAATTGAAAACGATTATAATAGCTGATTTTTTATCCTCAGCCGCTAAAATATTGACCAATTGTTTAGAAATTAATAAACACTACGTGCGCTTTTACAAGTAAAAATAGAAATATTCAAGCGTCAATCGTATACAAATTATAGTGTCTCTGGAAAGTATCCCGTTTTTCAATTTATTTATATAATTTAAAACCAATTATTTTTTGAATGTTAAAATTTTATTAAAATGTAAAAATGTTATTAAATATTTAGAGATGCCTATATATATTTTGATTTATTCTTATATTTTTGGGATTTTTTAAATAGTTTTTGAGATGATTTTATAGAAATATTAAGAAAAAATTAAGGAGGGGATCTAAACAATTTTAAGGAAATAAAAACAAAATTTCATCTAGATATCATTAAAACTTTACCCAATAATAAATACTCTTAATAATGGGGGGGGGGGAAAGGGGGTATTTTCAAACTACCTTTATTTTGCTCAACTGGATGTTTATTATATTATTAGGCCTATCATTTTCAAGGCTTACTAATATTAGCAAGACTTTTTTGTTCCATGTGATTTTGCTAATTTTTAATTCTGCGGAGGGTAAAAAGCTTTTAGGATGCAAGAGTTACACTGGCATTAAGTTTTTTTGCAATGAAATGTCAAAATTTTAAACATTTTACAAAATAATTTATATTTTTCTTGTGACCTTTATTAATATTTAAATATAATTTTTTGCCATCTGAAATTTATGTGCTTGTAACTCCATAATGATAAATTATTGGTAAAATTATAGTCTTCCCCATAAAAATGTTTCTGAATCAAATCTAACATTATTTTATATATTATATATGGATTCCTTAAAGATCTGTGGTGTTCTCCCTAGAAATCATTTAAGGATCGTCATATTGAATAAATAAATAAATTATACAATTTTCTTTGGAATTTCTCGTATTAATGATGTTTTTTTATAATAACATAATTATTTAAATTATCTACCTTCAGGCACTAAAATATACTAATACTAGCATAGCACTGCTTCTATGTTTAAGGTATAAATTTCAGAAATTAGTGTTCCCAAAAATTATAATTTTTATTTTGCCTTTAACCTGGATTATTTTTTTTTTGGGGGGGGGGGGAATTCTGCGTTCAGGCATGATGCAAATTATTGCAATTTTATTTTTCCGTTAATAACTTCTCTTTCTACAAAGCGGATTGGAAAAATATAGTAATTAAATATGAAGACAAGACCGTGTCCTGAGTCGACTTTTTTGTTGGAATATTTAGTATCGACTAAATCGACTAAACACTCTAAAAAGTAAAAAAAGATTATTTTATAAAAACGAAAAAAAATATAATCAAATAAACAAAAAAGATGAAAAAAGAAAATTTTGAAAAGAAACGAGAATAAATACTAAAAATAACAAACCAAAATATGGTGTCCTCATATTTAGTCTAGGCTAAAAAGTAATCAAGTATCAAAATTGAATCGAACCAGGACACCGCTTAAACATTGACAAAGGTTTTCAGAATTAGTATTTAAGTCAATTTTGAAACCTAAAGTCGATCAAAATTTTCTTCTTTCTATATATATATATATATAGATAAATAAATAAATACCCTAATAGCATTTACCATAAGCGCTACCTAACCAAAAGAGATCTAGGGGGATGTCTCCCATTTAAAAATCCTGGCTACGCTATTATAAATAATGTTTATAAAGAGTCATGAATAGACCTTTAAGACGCCAATATGGAATGGCAGCTACTAAATACTGGCCCTTAAGGTTCCAATTTATTATTTATATCAATCTTGTTTTTCGCTATAATAAAGTTATTATGATTCACATTCAATTGGTGAAAGTACGGGTGTTTTGATGCAACCCAAAAAATCTGGCCTGAAGAACTGCACTCATGTAGATAATAATACCAAATTTAGTTTTGGGTTCATAACAAACAATGTACACACACATATATATATAAAAAAAAGGTCTTGCTGTTAGCTTTTAAAAACATAAAGGCACCAAATAAAGGATATATACTAAATATCAAAACACTAAACTGAAATCGTAGCATGAGGCCGCCTGCCTAAATCGTGTACTAGAA